TACAAATAATAGTCATAATATGCCATAAAAAACCTGGTATGATGTGCTTGTTGATTCTTATGAGATGACAAGTCAGTACTTAGGTCTACGGCTTTTAATCTTTATGATTTTTGAAGATAAAAAGTATTTTAATGCCACTATTTGATTGAAATGTGTTTTGTCCTGTTCCAGGACTACCCCATTATGAGGGACATAAGTCATCCAGGATGACAAATCTATCCTTGAATCTGTATCGTTTCGCTTTTTTTTTTTTTTTTTTTTTTCAAAAAGAAAGGTCGGTTTGTCGTAAAACTACCATTGTTTACTACTAACATCAACAGATTCGTTTTATAATAGTTAATTCGTATCTGTATCTGTCGAACCTCCGGTCTACATCGTCTCGCAGTATTTGGGAATAATCTAAAACTAGTTAGCGCGTTTTCTCTTTCACATAGGATTTTATCCACTAGGCGAGAGACACCGAGCTGACGAAAAATAGCTGGTAAACTTTCCATACACGGTTTCCAGTTAATTCGCCGCAACGAGAATAGCCGGGTTAATTATGAGAGGTTAATCCCGCAGGGAAACGGCTAATCCAGGGGCTCCCGAAATGGCACTGGACGTTGAAGTTCATTATCCGGAGGCAGCCGCATGGGCTTAGCTAAAATTGGCCAGATTAAAGCCAATATGGGAAAGTTCTATGAACGATCGATAATTTCCGATCGGGGTTCTACGTTTTTGTTTTGTTTACCTCCCTTGGTTTTCTCCCAGTAGTGTATTTGGATTATAGCTGTGGATTATCGAGATCGCTTATTGTTAGTCCAGTCTGTGATAGTGACGACTGTCATTCCTACTAAAGGTTGCATGACGTACCAACAGACCTAAGACATTAAAGACACTAAAAGATTTAATTTAATCAAAATTGTTGAGCAGAAACAAAGAATTTTAAAGAAAAGTTAAAGTTAACAATGGACACCTACGAAGCGTAACAAATTTATCCAGCCATGGAGGAAAGATTCCAGTTATACAAAGGTCAAAGGGTCAAATCTCATAACGCGTTGTAAATCCCAGTCTGGAATTATTATATATTAGAAAACATACAATTCAACAATTGGAACCGAGTGGCAATCGATGGCTAGTTTTCTCGAAATCAAACTGATTCTGTCAAACCAAATCAAAATTCGGCCAAAAAAGCTGAAAAAAAAACATTCGTCTATAGTCAGATTTCAGTACAGGTTATTATAGAAAAAAACGAGCTATGAAAATACCCCCTTCTGAGTATTTTGAGGGAAAATCTTTGGAAGTAAACGTCAAAGCTGTCTTTTGTCTCGAAATTCAACTTGAAAATAATGATGCGTTCCTTTTAAAACAGAACGAACGAGTGCATGTATATGTCAAGTTTGTTTGATTATTGTTGAATAATAAATTTTCATAAAAATAAACCGTCTCCTACTTGAACCTGAAGTCTGATTTTATGAGATGACCTCTGCCCTTAATTAATCGAGATAAAATTAATTGATGTCGATTTTTTTATTGGCTATTATGGGATGTTAAAATATTTTTGAATAAAGAAAATTGCAAGCTGCCTTAAATTAAAATTTGAAGTTTTAAGAATTTTAATAGAAGATCAAAAAATCATTTTATTCTCGAAATTTCGAAAAAACTTGGGAAAAATTCAACGGTGTGTCGAATGAAATGATTTCTTCCCTACCGTTCCAAAAGAAATTTTAACTTTTTCGTAGTACCTTAAATTCTTAAGTACGGTTCATTTTTTTTCAAATTTGGTTAATTTTATGCTCGTCTTTCGTCGTTTAATATCGGCAAAAATTCACTCCAGGGAGAAAAGCGAGACCAAGGCTACTTCCGAGGACGGTGAACGGAATCGTAGACAAAATACTGCGCACTTGCACTTCAACGCACTTGTTTGTTGACCGATCCGAACAATAAACAAACACAGTGTAATTGAGAGAAAATTTTTAATTTCTCCGGTAAGCACACTTGCTTAGCAATGACAAGTTCAACGACTTTAGTCTCAGATATGCGAATTCCATGATATAAACACTTCCTTTTATTTACGATGATGTGCAAAGTTCAGTTTATTAAAAAGACAATCAACAACACTGTGTTAGCTTCGAGACTACACTAGTTTCTTGAATTCGGACCTTGCTACAATAGAATACTAAGATTAGGTCAAGAATAAATTCCAATAGGCATCCCAGGACAGAGGCGTGTGAAAACGTTCTTCAAAGGGCAATAACAGAAACAAACGGCAAAATTATGACTTGTTTGGACTAAAATGATTCTGGAGACATTTGTATAAACCCGGAGCAGAATCAATTTGCGTCGATATTGCCAGGAAAAAGAAGTACAACAATTGGCGCTGCGATTCCAACTCCTGGACGAGCAAACTCTCAGGCCTGAAGGATACGCGAAAGCCCTTAACAAAGCTTTCGGATCTAGTAACACGCATTAAGCCTAACGTGTAAACCTTGTAATTACCTTGTAATTGTAAAAATTGTAATAGTAAGGAGGCAGACAAGTACTTAACTTTTATGAGAAAGAATTGTTAATTGCAAGCAGCATGGTACATGAAATATGGGAGGTTAGATCCTGATGTTAGCCAACTAGTTCTACATTGTACTGTTCGAAGCTCTTGTTGTTTGCCTGAACCTTTTTTAAGCTAATTCATTACCAACTATAACAGCATACTCTGGGACCTAGAACTATATGACCCTCCATATTTGCTGGTTTAATCCTTGCAAAGCGGACTGAGTCCTTGTATTTGATCAATCCTCAATCCTTGTATTGATATTTTTATCTTCACAAATTATACCAACTCCAACCCTGCCTGGGCTTTTGCAACCGAGTCCATTTGTGAAAAGCTTGATTTTAATCTTAAGGTACTCTTGTTTTCCACAATAATATAGCATATTTAGCAGCCTACTAATTCTCTGCTGTCCTACGTCTTCTTTGGTTGGTTGCCTGAAGCGTTTTCTAGTAGCTATATCTGCCAGCTATGATAGCATGGCCATGAACCTAGGAATATAAGACTCTCTTTTCTGAAATAGAGAGCATAGTGCAAGTAAGGATTACATAAGATTCAATGCTAACCAGACAGTGATTTCTTGAGGTAAACTCTTAAGATCTTTACAAATGCTTGCTTTTAATCTCACGGTAGTCTTAAGGATTTTTAGCAGTCTACTAAATCTCTGTGATATTGTACTATTTTTCAGTTATGTGTGAAGTTTCTTCTAGCAGTTATATTTGCTAATTCATTGACAGCATTTCCTAGAGCCTAGGAACATATGAGAGAGAGAAAATACTTAATCTGGGACTAGAGACCCCTAAGAATAACAATAAAGTCACAAAATTTGACATATCTGGCACTTGCGTTAATGAAGGTTTGTCTTTAAAGTAAAGTGAAAAAAGTTGAACTACATCAGAGTACAAATTATAAAAAGTAGAAATAATCAGAATTTAGAGAAAAGTAGTCTAATAATAAAGAATTTTCTGTATTATGCGAACTTCGAAACTGCGAAAATCACTAACTCTAAACTTAAAAGTTGAGAAAAGGAAGGTAACAAGCTTTCTAATGTAGCAAAAGCACCTAATAATATTGTGAACTATTTTGTCTCCGTTTGGAGGAAGATGAGGTGTGGTTCAGAAGGGATTGAAAAGAGGTAAGGGAGGCAGCTTTGCGGATGGGAAAAGGAAGAGAATTCCAGAGATTTGTGTTTCGAACTAGGAAGGATCTCCCAAATGTTTATGACGATGAAGGAATAGGTCATTGGGAAACGAGTGAGTGTTAAGAGAAGAATATATAACCCTCCATATTTGTTGGAATAGAATACCAAGATAACTTATAGATAAATAAAGATTTATTAGGTCCAAGCAGCTTGGCATTTGAAATATGTCAGTTGAAACTATCTGTTTCGGTTATTGAAAGTTGAATAATTTCTTGAGATAGAAACTTATGATTGTCACAGATAACGCAATTCTGGGCAATTGGAACCGACAAGACTTGCTTTCAATTGCTAGGTACTTTGTTTGTGTACATTGCATAAAGCAACTTCTGCAGTTTCATCCGTATAACAAAAACGAATATTTATTGGAGGGATGCTAAAGGACATTCTAAGGGCATACCACGTAATGTTTACGACTAAAAGTGTGATTTAATGATTTGCAAAGTAGATAGGAGAAATTTTGATCTTAACAGATGGCACCAGGTCCAACCAAGGCCTAAGGGCGGTATTTTGACACGTGACATTAAATCCAACACCGGCTTGGCTTTCGGAACTATCCTTTTCGACTCTTGTTTGTACATATAACCAGGTCGGATTTGTTATGTTTAGGTAAGTAAATAAAGAATGGTGGCTTTGAAAAGAGCCATGGAGGAAAGGATGTGTTTGTCTCATTCTGCCAAGGTGAGGGTGTTTCCATCTGACCCTGTGTTGGCTTGTGGAAGCACCAGGGAAAAGATTGGGTGGTTTTGAAGGTGAACCAATAATGTTTTGTGAAGTATTTCATATTGAAAAAATTCTTCAATATTTAAGCGTTAAAATTGACAAGGTAAAGAATAGAAAGAGTCGTTCCTTTTAGAAGGAAATAATATCGCGATGTCAAAGAAGGTAAAAATCGTCCTATTATACGACGGAAGTGAAATTGTAAATTCACGTCAGGATGACTTACGGTGGTCATAACTCACTCTAGCTCAATGGAAAAATTGAAAAACAATCCGACTAAGCGGTAAGTCGGTCTATTCTATTAGAAAAAGAAAAAAATTATTGAGTAAAACACCGTTGTGTTTATAATTAATCAGGACCGAGGCAAATCAAACACGATACGCCGTGATATTCCGGGTTTTGAACCGAAGGATAAATGCATCGAAATCCGCCATAATCGGCGCTGTAAATGCAATCGGGACTAGCCGACCTCCAAACACTTTTAGCTCGGAACGCTTCCATACGCCTTTTTTCTTTTAACGAATTGTCCTCAATCTATTAATGTTATGAAATTTCTATTTTGTCCTTTTTATTTTCAGGAGAAAGCGCGGCGGAGACAAGCACCTCATCTCCGGATTTTGGTGGACCGGGGTCCCCATGTAAGATGGAACCGCCCTCGGTTACGCCGCCTCCCATTTCCAGGTATATAAATCAACTTTTTTCTTTTTTGTAAGAAAGAAGACAAATAGAAAAATAGGTCAGATTAGATTAGCCGTTGTAATGACGTTGAGGAATATTTTTTTAAAGCAATTGAAATCCCTACAAACTCGCGCTCGCTCTTTCTGTTATCTATAATTTAGAAATTTTTGATGTACTTGTAAATCTCTTCGTAGCTCACTCTCTCAGTCTGTCTATCTAGCTATTGCGTCTTTCTTCTTACTCTTTCTCTTATCTCTATTTCTACTTTAAACTAACTCTTCCCTTCTACTTCTCTTCCCTATTCTCGCTCTCTTCTTGCACTTTCTTTCTCTTACTCTTTCTCTCCCTCTCTTTCTCCCTCGTTCTTTCTCACGACCATCTATCTATCTCTATCCAACTACCTCTATTTTTTGTGTGTGTACCTTCTTCGATGCTTGACTGGTTTCTTCGTCAATTTCGTTATTTTTTTATGCCTGTGTTCCTAACCTCAAATTTTGTTTTACTCATGGTATACCCTCTCCATCATTACACTTTTTCTATTTCTCTCATCTGTTCCCACTCTCTTTCTTCCTCCTCTCTCTTTCTCTCTCTCTCTCTTTCTCTCTCTCTTTCTCTCTCTCTCTCTCTCTCTCTCTCTCTCTCTATCTATCTATCTATCTATCTATCTATCTATCTCTATCTATCTATCTATCTATCTATCTATCTATCTATCTATCTATCTTTCTTTCTTTCTTTCTTTCTTTCTCTCATACTGCCCCTGTCTTTCTTACGATCGTTTAGATATTTTCCTCTTTCCTTCTCTCTTTCCAAATTGCACCTTTTCTGAACTTTACAACAAAACGTTAAATCGACTCGTCACTCGTAACGGGGTAAAAGAACAGTTTGAGGGGATCAGGGACAATTCGATATTCCGATCGTCGTTCGTTATTCATTCTGGCGATAATTAGGCCGGTTTCCAATGCATTTTATCAAGTATAGAATCGAAAAATTGCAGGTGTCGGACTTGGACGTTTTATTACATATTTACGACTTGTGGAAGACTGATGGTGAGAAACGATTCTAGGCGGACCCGAATTTCCTAACCGGTGTTACAAAAAGTCTTCCAGTTCCAATTTTTTAAATTATTAATATTGAAAGAGTTAATGAGCAGTAAAATGTAGTATTTACAATGTAGATTGTTCTGTGTTCATTTCTAAAATATTTGCTTCACATTATTTCAGTATGCTGCTTGTTATTTATTTTCAACTTATATCGTCAGGATTTTGAGAAGATTTTTCAACTTTTTTTCAGCAACCCCGACGAATTCAGCGAACAGTGTTGTGCGTCGTCGCCGGATTTGGGGGGCGCGTCATCACCCCGGAAAATCGAACCGCCCTCAACGCCACCACCTTCAACAAGGTAAATTGAAAAATTTTGAAATTTACCCTTTTTTCAAATCGGAGCTGTCAATTGACAACCAGATAATTTATTAAAAACCAAACAAAAATAGCAATGCCTTTAGCACACACTAATCTTCTTTTAAGGAAGGTTCGGATGCATTCCCTTTTAAAGGAAGAAGAATACATTAAACTAATCTGGAATGTTAATTTATTTCCGTTTTAAAAGTATATCTCGATAGCTTTTGATTTACTCGACAAATATCCCACTTAAGTAAAAGTACATTCGCCTTGGAAAGTGACCTCTAGGGGACTATGAATTTTTTTAAATAAAAGAGCTTCCGTACTGATTAACTCCGAAAAAGGCAAACACCGTTCGTCTCTAGTTTAATCGTGTTCACTTCTCGAAAGGACTTATCTATAAAATTCCGATAAAATATAAATCATAAAACTTTGATGGAAGCGCATTAGGACGTTAATCCCTCCGGTGAATGTCGTCGTGATTTGCCCTATCGGGGTTAAGGACGATAGTCCGAAAATAATTATCCTTTAGCAAAAGCGACACCCAGTTTAACGAAAATGTGAACTGAAAAGGAATCGGCCGTGACTCGAATTTGGTATTTGGAAGAGTTCCTTTACCTCGTTGCGAAGGTCAAGGGCCCGGGTTTTAAGGGATATTTCAAAAATGTCGTTCCTATCCATTTTCGACCAATTGTGAGGCTATTGTTAGCTTAATTGACCCTCTCTGAGACAATTACGACGACCAACTGTAAATAATATAATAACTTAATCTAATAGATTTTACACACACACAACCTTTATTCTCAGCATAGTACAAGTGAACTAAGGAACAGACACACGTAGGGAGACTTATTATTATTTACATTATATTTAGGACTTGCGAAGTAATTCCTGCTGTATAACATTTACATAATATTACCAATACACTTAACGTAAAACAGAAAAAATTTGGTCATCCGGGCCGGATCAAGTTTTTAGCAATTCACTCCATATAAAATCTCATTTCTAGTAGAATTATACAGTGAAAGTAGAGAGTGTGAGTGAATAGTTACGATAGAGAGAGAGAGAGAGAGAGAGAGAGAGAGAGAGAGAGAGAGAGAGATAGAGCGACTAGAAGCATTTTCAGAAAGGTTGGGCATTGGAAGAGAAAGAAAACAGAAGTTACAATAATAAGCAGAATAAAACAACTGATTTTTATAATTTACGTAAAATGAAGATCCAGACAATTTTTAAGATGAAAATAATACCTTTAGAGGAAGATGGATAGGAAAGAAACTCAGACATCAACATAAATAAATTTTTGTAATACAATTATGCACAAAAAGAGTAAACTACAATAGAAACAAGAAAAAGAAATACTAAGAATTCTGCCATAAAAGCGTGTATATTCTTTCGATATATGAAGTTTTCATTAAAAGAAAAGACATCTTACTTTCTACGTAAAGTTAATGAAGTGTTATAACAAAACAAAATTACACCAGAAGTGAAAGCTCTCGCCTGAGTAGGAAGTCAACGAAGAATGAGGAAAATTTCGGACCCTGTTCAATTAATGCATTTCATAAAATTAATGAACACAGTTCTCATCTAGTATAAAATTTAGTTAAAAAGAAAATATACCAATTATTCTAGGTCGCGGAAGACCGAAAGAAATATGCTCGGTGTAATTACAAAATTATACGTGTAGTTAGATATCGTCTGTCATCAAAAACTCCTCTCTCCTACTATTTTAATATGGTACAATAATCATAAATTCATCGAAAAAAAATGAAACCAAGGTTCATTCATGCTCTAATTTATTGGGCGCCAAGGATTTGTAATGATTTCTGCTAACTACTCACACGAAGGCTATTTCATCTTCTTTCATGATTACCATCGATTTTGCACTTAGTATCCACATCACCGTTTATCCTGGATCTCTCTCTCTCTCTCTCTCTCTCTCTCTCTCTCTCTCTCTCTCTTCCACTCTCTTTCTCTCTCTCTCCCACTCGCTTTCTCTCACTCTCTCTCTCTTCCACTCTCTTTCTCTCCCTCCCCCACTATTCTGCTTCTGTTTGTCTCTCTCTCTCTCTCTCTCTCTCTCTCTCTCTCTCTCTCTCTCTCTCTCTCTCTCTCTCTCTCTCTCTCTCACCCAATGGCTTTATTAAATATAATTTGGCCTCTTCATCCTGATTCGATTATACATTCCTTAATCATTTTTTTTTGTTTAACTTTATAAAATTAAAAAGGAAATACTCTAAAAACTACAAATCTCTTAAAGATAAACGGAAACAAACTGCCGTTAGAAAAAAAGCCTGTTTAAGACAAAGTTTAATTTTAATTATTTACTGTTTGATTTTTTATTTTACTCATTTTCGTCTTATTTTAGAATGAACGGGATGCCGGAGAAAGCGGCCTGCGGAGAAATCGAACTTGTTCAACCTTTGATTAAACTTTGGTAAATATTCAAAATATTTAAATATTATCTGTTATATAGAAGACCAAAAAATAGTTGTTTGTCTAACGCGTTAATTCGTAACAAAACTTGCTGCAATTTATCATGTTATAAAATGTGGCATAATAAAACTATCAAGGGCCGGGCGAGAATTTCGATTTCCCTCGACGTCCCGTTATGCAACTGGATATTTTCGCAATTCCAAAGAGCATTTATGTAACGAATCCCTGAAATTCAAGCTCCTTCCATAAACGAAAACATAAATTTAAAAAATAAGCAGTCTTACTCTTCCTGATACGAAGAATAAGTACACACGCGTTATATAAATTTGAAAAGAAGAAAGTTGTTCAAATCCGATAAAAACTTGACCAATCCAGGCAAATTTGCACAGAAAATAAACGATTCCTTGAGAAAGATTTTGTTAAATAAAGAACAAATGAAATGGGTCTGGCATTTCTATTAGAAGCTCTATTTTTAGAAAGTGCTTTCCTTTCGATCATCCCTTTCTCAACCGACCAACCTTGCCGGAGTTCTTCGAGGGACTTTCCTACGACCCATCCTGTTACTTGTATATTTTAAACAAATACCTCGACCAAATAATGCAAAAAAGGCTATTTCCGCGAACATGTCGCTACTCTCTTGGATGTCAAATACACTATCAAACATATTATATAAATAGCTTTATTCAGGCATTATTGTTAAAAAGAACAAGGGAGAATGCGTGGATCCAGCCGAATTAGTTTTAATTATTAACTGACAGTCGAATAAAAGTAGTCAGGATTCTGCTGAAAACTTCAACTTGTTTTAAAGTCTCCATTTGAGAGCGAAGTTATAACAGTCTAATAAGGAAAAGACAATTTTATTACAATTGTCATTAATAATTGGAAGCCAAAACAGGTTTTTCTTCTTTTCGACGATTGGATGTCACGTCTAAAAAATAATAAACAGGGTGCGGCTATTTAACAGTTGAAAATATTCCGTTAAGAAATATTGTTCCGTTCATTCTCTTTATACATGTTAATTGTTTTTTACCGGGATATATAGATTTTTTACATTAAGAATGTTGGTTATTTATTTGAACAAACACACCATTTATTTTTTTTTGCAATATACTTATTTCAGTCATTTATGCATTTCGGGCCACGTCCCTGGTCCCTCTTCAGAGCTCGCTATTTAGTTACATTGAACTCCTTGAATCAACTGAAACAATTGATATTTGAATGGACTCAAATAAATAACCAACATTCTTGATTTAAAATATTGTTAACTGCCAAATTAAGTGTTTTTTTTTTAATAAAATTGGAATTATAGATTTTTAGTCAAATAATTTTTTGATCGACTTTTATATATCACTGGATTTGATAGACGTCAACCTTGATCCGGCTTGAACTGACAGAGTTGAAAAATTGTACATTTATTTCATGATTAATTGATGATTTCTAAAAAACATTGTATAGTTATGATAATTTTGCTTCTCATTTTTTACTGTATTGGTGGTGCCAAATGGACCCACCCCTATCGCGTTTCTGCCGTTTGCCCCTAGGCGTCCTTCCTGGGGTGGCTATTGTCGGTGTTGAAATTCATCGGGAAATCTAGCCGCTTTTCCGACACCTTTTTCCTAGAACAGGGGACAGACCCGCGGCTACAGACTGCCCGCTATATCGATCCAGCGGGTCGACGCCTGAGAATTGACCTGCTCCGCGGAACCGTCGAGTTGCTGAAATGTCGAAAAAATCAGGCTAAAGACCAAATCCTAGTTTGTGTTATTTAGTTACAAAGCTGAATTTAGCACTGTAGAACACTGGAGAGAGAAAGAGAGAGAGGGGGCTAGGGGACATAAATTGATGAGAACTGATCATTGTCAGGCAGTTTAAATAAATAATAGGGAGAAATAAATTAGTAAGAATAGCTAAAGGAAAGGAAAGTAGAAAAGTCAGAAAGCACAAAAAAGAAAAATGAGAGAGTGTGGTGAAAGAATGAGAAAAGAGGAGAGAAATAGAAAAATATAATGATTTTACCATAGGTAAGACAGAACTATACATAAAAAACGCAGACAAGCGAATAAGTAGAGGTTACGGTTAACAAACGAAGAAAATTAACTCTTAAATATAGTAAAAGTAAATATAAATATATGCAGATTTTTGGTTCTTCGGGCCATATCAATTTTCGAAAATTCACTCCAGATAGTACATTAATTGTAATAGTAATCTTCCGAGAAAGCAGAAAGAGAGAGACAACGAGAGAGGGGGAAAGGGTGAGAGAGGAGCAGAAATAACGTCGGGGGAAATGAAATAGAGAGAAGAGAGGAAAGTAGTATAAATAGAGTGGGTAAATCAGGGGTAAGAAAAAGTAAAGATGAGAAACACAGACATAAGAAAAAAAGGAGCTTACGGAACATCAAAAAAACACTAATTTAATTGTGCCAAATAATTTTTAAAAAGTCGAGAAATAAATAAAGATAGAGAGGCGAGAGAGAGAGAGAAAGAGAGGAAAGAGAAATATTAGGCGATAACGATCCGATGAGAGCAAAACTATGCGGACCAGTAAAAGACATACTAAACAGAAGTCCAAATTTAAATGCCAATGATGCCAAAAAATACTTTAAATAAGAGAGGGGGGAGGGAGAGAGAGAGAGAGGTGAAAGTTAAATAATCTTACATAAAATCGATAGGTACTTGGAGAAAATCAAACAACGAAAAAAGTGGAGAAAAAAGAGAGAAAGGTAGAAAAACCTAGTTAAAAAGGAAGTAAATGAAGTGAATGAGGAATAAGAAAAAAATATGAGCGACTAGAAAATAGAGCTATAGAAAAACAGTGTATGAAGAGTTACACAAAGAAAGTAAGAAAATATTTATACAAAACAGAAAGACAGCAAGACATGAGACATAAAAGATAAAGAATGTATATTTTTGGCAATATATACAGTAATATAACTATTATTATAATTTCACTCATTTGTTCTAATTTGAATTTTCTTATAGGGGTTTGTCACCTGAATGCGGTGGAAGAAAGGGAGGCGAGGTAAGGGTGAAGGAGGAGCTCGTGTTCGACGGAGGAGGCCCTGCGCCCGCCACGAGTGGTAGTGGCTATTGGCCTCCTCAGCAACAACAACAACAACAGCCGCAGCAACACCAGGCACAGCAGCAGAACCCTCGGGTGAACGGCGTGAGGCACGAACTGATCGGAAACGAGATGAGGCCTCCACAAGCGCCGACACCTAGGCCAGCACCTACGGTCCTCATGGGGGAAGTCGGCGGTGTGAGGACGATGGTATGGTCCCAACCGGCACCCGCTGAACAGCCCACCACTTCCTCATGGCCTCCTCCCAACCAAGAAGAGACTGCAGCTCAACTACTCCTTACCCTTGGTATGTCATAAACCTTGTACAAATGTAGGCAGAGTTGAGCGGAAAAGATTCAAAAAGAAACTTTGTATTATTTTAAACTGTTTTGATTTGTTATAATAAAAAAATTGAATCTTCCTCATAAAAAATAGAGCAAAGAAAAATCTGCATGAAAAGTACTTTTAAAAATTCGGGGTCATCGGCCTTCTGACCGTTTCTCCGATCAAACCAAGCAGAAAGATAACGAGTCCACGTTTGTTACGACAGGTCAAGAGACGAGCCCGAACACGACAGGCACTCGGGCACTGAACATGGAGAGACTCTGGGCAGGAGACCTGTCCCAGTTGCCCGGGGCTCAGCAGATCACCGCGCTCAACCTGTCCTGGGCGAAACAGCAGCCGACCAAGCCGGACGACCACGAGGACGACGAGCAGCCCATGATCTGCATGATCTGCGAGGACAAGGCGACCGGCCTCCACTACGGAATCATCACTTGCGAGGGGTAAATACATATTTTTCCTAACTTTCCTTTCGCAAAACCCATAAACAAAAAATCACTCATTCATACTACAAACTTTAGTTTTAACAAATAAACAAACTTTACACTTTACTTTAACAAAAATGACATATGTAGTTTTTTGATTGTTGTTGTCATTGTCGTCGTAGTTATTGTTGACGTTTTAGTTGTTATAACGTCGAACAAAACTCTTGTTAGTCGTTTTACATTTTACTTGTAAAATCGTAGTCTCAATCAAACAGTATATATATACGTACAAAGCGAGACTACACGGACCGTTAACTATGTTTAATTTCGACTTTAAAACATCAAAATAATGAACTTTACTGTTCAAGTTTCCAATGGCATTTTTTCTCAATATCTGTTCTTTTTTTTACATTTTACTTGTACGACGCCCCTAAGAATATGTATTGATTTGATATATTAGTATTCGTTGCTGCAACTTACTCTGAAGTAGGGTTCAGTTAAATAGGATTCCACGATAATAAGGGATAGGAAGCGTTTATGTTTATAAAGGAGATATCAAATATGTAATTGGATGAAACATAGATATATTTACAACTATATTTACATTGAGCGGAGCAAATAATCAATCTTATTCCTCCATTTCACTAAATCAACTTCACTATCTTCTTCTCAGAAAGGAGGTTTTGGGGGGATTTCCTCTTAAGACGCCTTATGAGATTGCAGGGAGGTTCTTTTGAGGCTTCACCGGGAATATTTGAGTGATGGAAGAGATTATTTTGAAACTGTAGATAAATTTTTGGGGAATTAAATTTTGGATAAATGGGATTTTAAGGTTGTTTTGGAGGGTAGTATTGGAGACATAATACATTTATAATTGATGAAGACTTTTGACAGAAAGGATTGGAGACGTCTGATTTTGGAAGTTTTAGCGGTTTCCCACAGTACTGCATACCATATTTCCAAATCGGTTATAGTAGTATTTTCTAGACTGTAGGTTACTTTACTGTCGATAGATTAGATTTTCGTCCTGTTAAGCTTGTAAAGTAGACTGTAGCGACTGTTTGGTGCTGAGTCCACTTAAGAGTATGTCGAAGCGAAACTCAAGGTAACAAACGCAGTTGATTTGGTGATAGGAACATAGTTAAATTTTATTGTGGAGGAGACTTGCTTCGGAGTGTCAATGTGACATGGACGCAATTATTCATTTTCTTTTTAAAAGTGAGTTCAAAATAAAGATAAGTTTTCAAGATAAATAATGTTTCTTGTACGACTTGACCACCAGTCAAAAGTTACGTTTGCTGTTTGGTTCTCCTGAAATAACTTTGCCAACCCAAAGTATGTCATTAAAAATGTTTGTTTTGTGTTTTGCTGTTTATTATAGTTTTGGTGTTGAATTTTAACTACATGCTGTACTGTATTCTACGGAATACAATTTCATCGGATTTGTTTTTCGTGGGAGTAAAAAAATTTTTCTTCAAAAATTTTCTTTTTATAATAATCAGTCGATGCGGGGGCATTCCGTGGGCGGGAAAATGCACACGTTGTCGAGATTTTGTCATATTTCCGCGGATATTTTTTTTCTCCCGACCTTCCAGGATTGGCGTCAGGGGCAGGAATTTGCCCCGGAGGGGAAATCGTTGGCCAATTAATTGTGAACGGTCGGCCGTATGGATACGGATGGTTTGTGCCTGGTTCCTCGGTGTCAATAACCAGCCTTGGGCCCCATGAGCCTTGACCAAAATACAAAATGCCAACAACCACTGATGTCGGCGATCTCCAAGGCTGCCCTCGGCCCCCACCTATCGCTGTTTACATTTTGTTCTCTCTCTCTCCTTCTTTGTTATTTTGGTAGAAAAAAATTAAAATGTCCCTTCCTCTAGTTTCACTTGTATTGTCCCCTTACATGAATTTATTGTCTCAGCGTAACGCCCTATATTAAATTCCTTGCCATATTTTTTTTAATTTGTACCATCATAACTAAAACTAAAAAATCTTCTCACCTTTAAATAATAAGCAAATCTCCAAAAAGACCTTTGGACCTATATTACAATATTACTTAACTCAGATTAGTTCGGGAAAGGCTTGGAGGAGACGAATAAACGGCGTTACGGCCGACAGTTCGGCACGACTTAAAAATATACAAGGGCCTATTTCCTTTTAGCCTCCCTCTGATTTATAACAGTAATGGTTCAGATTATAACATAAAAAATCATACAACAGATCCATTCTTGAAATTTGAGATGTTTTAATCAACTATTCGCGTGAACTATCGACAAATGGACAAATAAAACATAATTTTGTGAACAGGAATTTATTATTGAAGTTAAAATCCCGAGGGAAATTCGCAAAAGTCAAACTTTTATGGGCAAAAGACATATTCAAAAATTGGTGACTATTTCTAGATGATTTGCTAACTTTGATTTTTACAGATTAAGATTTAAGCGTGTTGTTATTTTCGCCATATTCATCTTTACTGTTCTTAACGCTTGCTTACCTTCCTTGAAGAAGAAATAATTATTATTTGCGTTGATTCTGTTGTTTAGCTATCATCATCTATCACTTACGTTATACTTTCACTTTTATTGTGACACAGGATTCTGCATATTCCTTTTATTATATGTGTCACATTTCAATTTAGTTCAAAGTGACAATGTTGTGATTTAGATTTCATGGTTAGGCCTAGAGTAAAAAAAAAAAGAGAGGTTTACGACAATGAGGGTAGAGACAGTCGAGTCTAAAAGGGAACGAGTCCATTCCGTGTAGATGAGAGACAAAAAGAAATATGCGATCCTGAAAAAAATTTAAAAAGTGTTGGATTCCCTAAAATAGAGTACTTCGGTCAACAGTGGATTGTCTGTAAGCAGTGAGTACACATCCACCCTTGTTCCAAACGGTTTGCAAGTAATTACTGTTATTTAAATTTTAAAAGTTTTAATAGCTTGTTTAAAATTTAAAAAGGAAATTAATTGATTTTAATTGTTATTTTCTTGTGTGATTAATAAATTGTGTTCAAACTTGAATTAAATTTTATTATAAAAAGGCAGCTGATCGGTTGTATTCAGGTTCGATCAAGACCTCTGGAGCTCTGTTTCTAATAAAAAAGATTCAGTATTGGGCCCGTCTTGTTGAATCAAGAACAGACCGCGACATATGCGTAGTTTGTATAATTAATAGTAGTATTTTTTTATATGATAAGGGCCAAACTATTCTTTAAAAAATAAACTTTTCCAGCCCACCACATATAACCTTATCATGGAGTCTTATTTAATAGACCACTGCTTAAGTGGTGTGTTTCAACGAATAATCAAATATCAGATCATCGCGACGTCTCACAAGGGAGGTTTTCCCCTATTCTCTTAATCAACGAAAGGAACTATTAATATTGAGCACTACGTGCGTGTGTGTGTGTGTGTGTGTGTGCGCGTGCGTGCGTGCGTGCGTGCGTGCGTGTGTGTGTGTGTGCGTGTGTGTGTGCGTGTGTGTGTGTGTGCGTGTGTGTGCGTGTGTGGTTTTTAGTGACCGTTAGGAATGTGTCCAAATAATACTTCGCTTACACGTACAATAGAAAACTCCTAGCCCTGATCATTTTTTTAGCAATTAACTCCAGAGAACGTATCATTTCTAATAGTAATATGTAGAGAGAGAGAGTGAGAGGGGGGAGAAAGAGAGGGAAAGAACCGGGCAAGATATTCCTGAAGACAGAGGTCGTTCGTCATTGAAAAGAAACTGGCAAGAAAAATAATTAACATTCAATAAAGTAAATAAACTAGATTTTTTCACTAGCAGGTTTCGTTAAACTATTAAATTAATTATGTAATCTGTGAAACTGCATGTAACTTTCTGACATTAAAATCGCTACCACCCCCTCCCCAACCAAACAAATAAAAATTAATTATTCTCATTGAACGATTGACAATGGGTGGTTTGTTTTTTGTTAATTAACTTTCACCGTCGTGCTCTTCTTAAACCCACTTGGTTTTCTTTTCTATATTCGATCGATGAATATTGAATGAGAAACGGCCCTTTGAATGCAAAACAACCGACGTCAAATATGAAACTGGGTCGCGGGCAAGAGATAACGAAATTAAATTACCCGGTCGAGATTACAAAATATTTTTTTGGTTTTTCTCACTTCATCACAGATTTGGATTAATTAGTCTCTCAAAAAACAAATAGTTTTCCATTCTCTTGTTATGAAAATTAACGAAAACTTCTTTTTATAATGATCTTACAATGCTAAGCGCTCTCTCTCTCTCTCTCTCTCTTTCTCTCTCTCTCTCTCTCTCTCTCTCTCTCTCTCTCTCTCTCCCTCCCTCCCTCCCTCCCCCTGCCATTCTGTCATTGCTAATTTTAGTTTTCAGTTAATTTTAGTACCCTTTTCAACATATCCAGCTAAACGTTCACTGTTCTTTCTCTTTATATTATCGCCAACAATACCTTAATATTTTGTATTCCTCATTCTCTCGCTTTGCTTTCTATTATTTTGGTGTCCTATCTTCACTCAACGTCTACCTTGTTTTATTAGTTTTATATGTCTGATTTTCTTTCTGTTTTTTCCATTGATTTGTTGGTATTCTACATTTATTTAACCATTGTTTGTTATATTGTTTTACTTTTAACTTCATTTTCTGCAATTTTTTAACTTTTTTTTGCTAAAATGTATTTTGTCTGTCATTCTTCCTTTACCACCCATGATTCTTGCAGTATGTTTCATCTCATTTTTATTTTTTATTACATTGATGAATTTTTCTTTTTAACAATCTTTGAGACTAATTTTATGTCCTGATAGCTTATTTGTTTTATTTGTGTTTTTATTCATAATGAATCTACTTTTTGACTAATTATGCTTTGTTTTGTTGAATTGTATTACCATTTTTATACTGTATTTGTTTATTATACATTGAAAAAGCTAAGCATTTATCAGCTTAGTTATTTAAATAATAAGTTAATAATTTTGTAATGTTTTAGTTGTAAAGGGTTTTTCAAAAGGACGGTACAAAACAGGAGGGTTTATACATGCGTAGCTGACGGTGTTTGTGAAATAACCAAGGCACAGAGGAACCGGTGTCAGTACTGCAGGTTCAAAAAGTGCATAGAACAAGGGATGGTCCTCCAAGGTAAAACAAAAATTTAAGAAATTTTTAAATAAAATATCAGTATTATAATGTAAAAAAAATTTCAGCTGTCAGAGAAGACAGGATGCCTGGAGGAAGGAATTCCGGAGCCGTTTATAACTTGTACAAAGTAATTTTTTTTAATTCTTACATATTTTTTTATATATATAATTTAAATTTTGGTTTTATAGGTTAAATACAAAAAGCACAAGAAATCTGTGCGAAACGGACAGATTAAAAGTGTGAATGAGAAAGGAAAGCCAGCCATAAGTCCAGAACATAGCATACCACCACATCTGGTCAACGGAACCATTTTAAAGACTGCACTTACCAATCCCAGTGAAGTAAGTAAATTAATTTTACCATTCTACAATGAATTGTGCCTTTAATACTATTTAATACTAGAATTCAGTTCATGTGCACTATGGTCTCTTATGATCCTTTTCAAAAAATCAACTTTTCTAATGGATTTTCCTTCTTTTTTTAAGGTTGTCCATTTAAGACAAAGGTTGGACAATGCTGTGAGTTCTTCTAGAGATTGGGCACTACCTATTGACGCGACACTGTCCATGATACAGACTTTAATAGACTGCGATGAGTTCCAAGACATCGCAACCCTAAGAGTACGTATTTTGTACATCGTGTATTTTTTTTTTTTTTTAATTGTTTTTTGCTAACTGTATTTCATTTCAGAACCTCGATGATCTCTTAGAGCATAAATCTGACCTTTCTGACAAGTTGATGCAGATCGGTGACTCGATAGTATACAAGCTAGTTCAATGGACCAAGAGATTACCCTTCTACCTTGAACTCCCAGTTGAGGTGAGAAGTTTTTAAACAATAAAATAAAATTTGTAAGTATTTATTATTCATTCACTGTGTGAATTGCATGCCTGTCTGATGTTAAGGTAAGCTGGACTAAAAACAAACTGACTTGATATTCATTTTCAAACTTTTTGCTTTGTGATAGTAGAAATCAATGAGTTTTTTCAGGTTCATACGAGGCTATTAACGCACAAATGGCATGAGTTGTTGGTTCTCACTACATCTGCATATCAGGCAATTCATGGTGCACATAAGTTGGCTAGTACCGGCTCTGATGGAACTGAAGCTCACTTCACTCAAGAGGTATTTATCAATTATGAAGATAAGAAAAGAAACAAATAAGTAAAATAAGTCAGATTTGGCTTGTTATGAGTCAGTGTGGTTTCATTGTCTCAGGTTTAGAACATTCAAAACTTTTCAAATGAATATTGAAAATTGTGTTGTCCACAGGTCTCAAATAACCTTTGTACGCTGCAGACATGCCTTACATCGATGATGGGCCGACCAATCACAATGGACCAACTGCGGCAGGACGTAGGGCTGATGGTTGAAAAAATCACTCATGTAACGCTCATGTTCAGACGGATTAAGCTTACAATGCAGGAATACGTCTGTCTAAAAGTCATTATTATGCTTAACCCAGGTATTACATTGTTATTATGTTTGTTTGAACTTTTACTTGACAATTTTGTTGTTGTTAGCAAGAGGAGGTTCAAACGAGTTGGAAGCGATTCAAGAAAGATACATGACTTGTTTGAGGACTTATGTTGAACACAATTCGCCAAATAACCCAAACCGATTTCACGACCTTCTCGTAAGACTGCCAGAGGTGAGTTGGACCTTTAATTTCAATTTATTTGATACTTTTATGAACATTGATATTTTTTTTTTAGGTCCAGTCCGCTGCATCGTTACTCCTGGAGAGTAAAATGTTTTATGTCCCATTCCTCCTCAACTCAACAATCCAGAGGTAGTTGGTGCTAGCAGAACTGAAATCAATGCTACTTAGTGTATCAATTCTTCAAATAAAATTTTAAAGGAAAAACTGAAAGTGCTAACAGACAAAGTTATATACATTTGTATATATTGTGCATATAACTGATTTTTCATGGGTGGGGATGGGGGAAGGGGGGCTTGTGCGAATGTATTTTTTTGTGGTGTAAACTGACCAAAGTAATTTTTAAAAAACCAAAAACTCTCAAAGAGTTTTGCCTTAGTCCCCTATTTTTTTTCCAAGCCGTTGTGATTTAATTAGAAAAAAGAAAACAAACAAAATGCTGATTCCTATAAATAAAATTGTTACCATATGTTAATGCGCCATTGTTCTTTTTCTTTTTAATTTACCATCAAGTGAGATGATCTAGTGAATCAAGTTGGAAAATTTCCCGATTACCCTGATGCCATTTTTATTTTTGAATTTTATTGATTTTAAAAAAAAAAAAAAAAAAAAAAAGATAATAATGCTAAGTCGTGTAGTTACCATGTTACAATTCAGGTTCAATTTGTTCCTTTTTTGTGAGAGAAAGAGAATGTAAACACAGAACAGTTCTTTGATAAAGAAACTGTTCTCTAAATGTATATAGCTCCAGGTGGACGGGTCTTTTTTTTTCTTTTTTTTTTTTTTGGACAAACAGAAGAACAAGAATCCGTATGGATTGACGCTGACTGGGATGAACCCATCGGCCGGATTTTAACTGCCTAGACAATTTTATATCGGCTAAACAAAAAATATTTTTCATTTGTTCTTAAAGGACAAACGACAAACTGATCGCCACTGCCAATGCCGATATTAAATTTAGTCTTCAGTAACTTCCTTTTATAGTTTTTTTTTTTTTTTAAGTACAAATTTTTTTTCACCATAGGTTGTGTATTATTGTGTAAATAGTTTCCTTCTTCTTAATTTTTTGTATGTTTATCCAGTATTGGCAAAGTTTAGTGGATAGATTTTCATTTTTCACCCATTGTTTTACTGCTTTGCAATGAAATCATGGACCTGGATTTTTTTCTTTCAAATATTCAGCATACTTGTAATTTATACATTTAAAAAATGAACTAACATCTTCTTTTTTAATTTAAAATTAAATTAATATTTAGTTATTGCTTAATATTTTTTAAAGAAGGGATATCAATTAAGAAATTTACTTGAACTGTCAGACGTTCCCTAATTTTTCCCTTGTTATTAAAATAGTGAGATTATATATTGGAAAAGAAAATATTTTGGTATTAAAAAAAAAATTCAATTCAATATGATTTTAAATCCGGTTGGAGTTGAAATGAAACCATTTTTCAAGTTTCTCTTGCCCTTTGCATTTGTAAACACAGTGACCGACTGCACGTTTTTAATATTAGGCCCAAAAAGTCTTTTCAATTAACTTTTTTTCATGTATTTATTAGGAAAATTGTAATATTTCAAAGACTCAATTAGGTAACTGTGTCTTAACTCCAGACTTATAAAAATATTTGATAAAAATTTATATACATTATATTACAAGAGACTGACTACAATGACTGCCACTTTGAATTTATAAAGTAAATAAAGGGGAATATTACATTATCGGTAGGAAGTTTTTTTTTACAATATGATACATGAATAATAAAAATCTTTAAAAAAATGTTACTGTAAAGTCTGTAGAAAAAGAATGATTCTCAAGTCCAATGTAAAATTTCATATTTAAATTCTGTCGATAATAAATTAACAAAAAACTTTTCCAGGGTTGTTTGTTTATAAGGGATAATACAGGAAAGTTTAAAAGAATGTAAAAATGAATTAGATGTTCTATTGTGCCTTTTCATGATTAGAATTATATAAGAGATTACAAATTTCCATGATTGTCGCTTTTATAGTTCGGTGGTGTTTCTTTGAGATTACGAGACTTGATACCAGAAGAAAAATACCGTTTGTTATTTATTTATTAAAACTTTTGACATTACATTAAATTGTGTCGTTATGATTTTTTTTAATTTATAAAATTTCTGTACTATCCCTTTTTGAGCTGATTTCGACCCTGTAACAAACTGTGTGATATCTTGTGGAGGAATAATTAAATGGAAGGCCTATTTCTTAATGTTGTATTATTTGTTCTGTCTCTTTTAATTTTCTTTTTTTAATTACAATTATATTTGAAAAAATCACTTATTTGTATAAACAAATTAAATAATGTTTAGAGCATTTTAAAACAAATACAGCTTAGAAAGAGGAAATTTTGTAAAATTTGCACTTTTGAAAATGAATAATTTTTATATTTGTATATAAAGTAAGATGAAGTTTTTTTACACCGTTCATGCTCGAAATAAAACAAAAACATTGCAAAGTAGGAAATTGTGATTTGAAGAAGATTTCAGATTCATAAAAGCATTGTATATATTATATATAATATTAAAAAAATTAAAATAATAGACAAAGAAAAATTTACAAGTTCTTTGGCTGTTTTATAATGTGTTACCAATAATAATTTTAGTGTTTGTCTATTTTGACTATTGTATAAAAAAATTGAAAAAATAAATAAATAAATGAAAAGCTTTGCAGATAAAACCAGAGTGAAAGAGCATGTGGACACACCATACAGTTTAGCTTAAAATTACTTTATTTTAAATAAAAAATTGCAAAATGGTTTTTCATTTTAGTTTTAAAAAAAAGTAACCTGTTCATAACTGATAATTTATTTTATACAGTTTCAATTATAATTAGCATCTGTTTGATTTTACACTTGGTCTATTTCAATCTGTCATTATTTAAATATACAAAATTTAATTTTCTGTTCAATTTATATAATTGATAATATGTTTTGACCGAAATACCTCAGAAATACAATTATTACAATTCAAAGTGAAAAAAACAAGATGTTAATTATGACTTTTATAGTTTGTTATATTTTGTATATTAAATGTGAAATATTTTATTGGTGCTAACAAAGTATTGTGAGAATGGGAAAATGTTAATGTAAAATTTTTTTAAACTAAAAATTGGCCATTTAAAAAAAAAAAAATGAAGCCTACAAAAGTCTGATCGACTCTAAACATAGAGAGCTGGAACTCTGTGTCTTAAATGAATATTAATAAAAGGGAATTTTCTGATAAATTACAAAAATCAAATACAAACAAATAAAAAAAATTTAAAAAATTTTTAAAAAATTTAAAAAAAAACAAGACGACAGTGATGGGATACGTTTCCGAAACTATTTCGGCTTGTCCTACAGAGAAAGAAAGAAAAAATGCCTTGAGTTCACTCTAATATATATTACTTAAGATAATTATTGTTGTCTTTAAATGTAAATACATGAATGTCCTTAGTAAAAGTATTATTTTCTTTTTTAATTTTTAATTTTACCCTAAGCATACTTGTTTTTTTAGATTTAGCACTCGAATCGATTTGGTATGTATGGTGAAAAAAAATGGGAACTTGTGTCCAAATTCTGACACTAAGTTGCCCAAGGTAGCTTAGGTTTAGATAACTGACATAAATATATTAATTTTAAGAAAAACCTGGGGGACTGCCAGTCTGGCTACTCAACACACAAGAATGACACATCTACACAGAAAACAAACTCTTTGAGCCCTGAGATGATCTCAATAAAGATCGAAACGTTGACACAATAAAGAAAATGTTTTTCTAAAACCTGTGTCACACCAGACCGCATCTGACCATCTCCAAATAATCAGTAACTAAGGGTCACTAAACACCACACATTGATGCAAGTGATGATTTTTCTATTGAAAAACAACCACAATATTTTACATGAAATAATATTAGTATTTTGCTATTGTGAACTAATATCACTGATTTATCAGGTGAAGGAAAATAAATAGAATGAAATACATTCCGAGAATTGTATTACTTTCTAAGTTTACAGTTTACATGAGGAAAACTGCATTTTATTTGATATTTTATTAAATTAGGAAATTCAACCAAATCTGTGGGAGTATTTTATCTTTTCGAGAAAATAAGGTTTTATCAGATCTGCAAATTTCACTGAAATTGATTGGTTTTTTTTTTTTTGTTTTTTTTAATTTAGTGGATAGTAATTAATGTCCGGTAAATATTTTATAAGATTGATTCTTACTGTTGCAATCTTATCAGGTTCGATTGCAGTCTTTTTATACTGGTGCGTTAAAGGAGTAAAACTTATTATAAAAATTGAAGAACATCACATAGGCCATGCAAAGTTGTCACACGGACCTTATTTTGTGCCAAAGCCTGCATATGTCTCCATGGCCATCCGTGGCTCCATACAGACAGCGAAGAGGAATCCACTAGATTTAAGAATTGTGCTTGAGCACAGCAGTGGGAATCTGGGTCCCCTGTATTGATTCTTGGAGGAAACGGGGTTGTTCTATTGTATATAATAATAGTTGTGTGTTTTTGTTGTGAGTGAATGTATTTATTAGCATGAATGTTTGATGTGAGAGGGTCAAGGGAGCATCGAGTACCCCTCAATTAGGTTAGTTAAAATAAGTGTAAAGAGCGGTGGAGGAATACTCCATCACCCTAACTGAATGAATGGTATGTAAATAGGAGTGAATGTATTTAAGAATGAATGTGAGTTCAAATTGGTTTGGAACTGCATTGGGTGCTAAATTGACTTAGCTGTTGACAGCACCTCCCCCCAGAGCACATTGTCGGTGGCTGGACGGATAATGCTGAGGTCTGCCCCCACCTGGGGTGGGTGATGCTTGAGTTTGCCAGCAATTTACATAAATAGCAAATGTGTGCAGGTAAACTACGAGAAGCAAATAGGTTCAATTTGGCACACGTTTGTATGTATGTGGTGAAAAAGGACAAATCTAAATACAAAACATGAGAAGATGAGTTCCAGATTAAATAATTTATTCGGGCGAAATCCGAAGAGGACAAAGCCCAACTCCTAGCCCAACACCACTCTGCAGTTTTCAATCTACACCCAGACATCCAAGACCATCATTCTGAAAAAATCCTTAATGAAGTCCTGGCCCCCATTTGGACATACAGACTTGAACTTTATGGGACTGCTAAGCGTTCCAATCTCAATCAAATCCAATCTCTTCAATCTAAAATCCTCAGAACAATAGTCAACGCCCCTTGCTATCCAATCACACCATCCATACCGACCTAAATGTCCCTCTTATTATCGAGCTAGCCCAATCCCGCTACAAAACGTTCCATTCCAAACTACCCCATCATCTGAACCTTTTCATCAAAACCCTGTCATCCACCTCATTACCTAATAATCCAAACAGAAGACTGAAGCGTCGGTGGCCCCACGACAACCTTAACACCGGTCTCTTAGGTTGGAGTACATCTCGCTCATCTTATTGATGTACTAACAGCTACCATCACTGGATGATGTTCTTTTATTTGCCACAACTTATCTTTACAAATCCGGATTTTCTTTCTATAAAGCCAGCAAAGCTAAATACCAAAACTGTCTAGAAGCTGAACCTAAAATCCGTCTCCAGCTAACAAAAACTAAACCCAACATATCCAAATTGTGCAGGCTAGCACAATCTCACTCTTCTCGTAAATTCATTTGAATTCAAATTTGAAACTGGCTCGAGTTTTACATACCTATTGATTCTATTCTATCCAATTGGATTTTTGTGTTCTAGATTTTCTAAATAAAGTTAAGTATGTCAATCCAATATTTGTTTTCATCACATAATTAAGAATGGACTGGCTAATGGTTATTTATAAAACTTTAATTTACTAAATATACTGTAAGTATGTAATTTTAAATCTTGAATGGAAGGGGTCGACCCTGGATTTTGTTCTGGGGAGGGGGTCTCCTGGTTAATAAGTTTCGGAAGTCCTCAATTATTCTGTAGTGATTTTCCCAATAATTTGTAACTTTATTTTAATATTGTAGATTATGTATGTTGGAGTTGAGGGGTGGGACAGAAAGGATTTGAAAATGTCTGTAGGAAATGACATAAAAATATTCACTTTTTGTAAAAGGTGGTTCTGCTTACCAATTTGTTGTTTTCAATTCTCCGGATTTCAAGCTTAAAGCTCATCATCAGGTTGAAAGCAGTTACAAGCACGCCTTGAACTTCGAAGTCCCGACATGAATTGTAAGAGTGAAACCGTTAACTGCCGATTCCACGCCAACGCGCCTTTTTTTCAACACCTAAAGGCAAGGTTTACCAACATAATTGTAATCATTGCGAAATTATATAAATTTAATGTATAAGACGGCAGAGAAATTAAAACTACATTCACACACATTAAAGAAAACTTGCCTAAATCGAACAAATTTTCTAAATTTAAGGACCATCAAAATGGAAAAATAATTTTCAATTTAAATTTGAATACAACAGTTTTGCATAGATTGAACAAAGGGCGGGAACTAGACTGCTGTAATTAACGTTTTTCGCATGTTCAAAATTGGGCGGCAATGAAAGCCAGCTTCTCGTTGGCGGGAAATCGGGTGCCGCGGGTTCACTCTTTCAATTCGTGACGAGACGACTAGAAGCGCGCTTGCAGCTCCTTCAACCTGATGGTGAGATTTAAGTTTGATATCGGGAGAATTGAAAACAACGAATTTGTAAGTAGAATAAAATCTATAAACTTGTCATTTTCTTATAAACTTATAATTCAGAAGGAAAATATTTAATGATAAATATTTGATCAGAATCCCCTCACATCCTCTTGAAGAACTTTTCCCCAACATCAACAAGCCATTGCTTAATGATGAGACCTATTATTATTTCAATTAATTATTCTTTCTATATAAGGTCTTGGTTGAGATGAAAAAGTAAATGTCACGAGTGGGATTCATACCCATGACATTCGGCTCTATACGCCACTGCTCTAACCCCTTGAGAACTTGTGCCTTCGTCAAGTGCTTATACTAGCAGCGTATTGAGCGGAAAGTCATGGATTCAAATCCCACTCATGATACTGTTTCATCTCAACTAAGACCTTAGATAAAAAGAATAACTAATTTAAATAATTAATATGGTCAATTAAGACTACTAAACATGGATTATTATCACTGTTAACCGAGTCAACCATGATCTGCTTATAGATAAATTGGACTCCATAGGCTTTACTAATCTGTCGCTAATGTGGTTTAAATCTTATCTTTTTAATCAGGAAAAGTAGTGAAATTACACAACTTATATTCAAAAGATTTCAATGCTAGTCGGGTGTAACACAAGGTGGAATCTCTCACCCATACTACTTAATCTCTGTATTAATGACTTAAAATATTATGTTAAAAATAGCAATTTCCTTCTTTATGCCGATGATTTGAAGCTTTATAAAACCACCAAAACCATTCATCTCCAGTCTGACCTGAATTCTTTGTGTATGGTGTCAACGGAATTCAATGGTGCTGAATATTAAAAAACACAATGTTGTCACTTACACTCACAAAACCTACCCCATCAATTGTGATTATACTATAGTTAGTGTTTCTTTGGCAAAACTCTCTGAAATTAAAGATCTTGGGTTTTATTTTTGATAGTCAACTGAATTTCAATTCTCACATCACCCATAACACAAATACATCCTATCGAGCTCTAAGGAACATAATCAGACTAACCAGGTGTATTGAGCCGAAGGTCATGGCTTCGAATCCCCCCTGTGGCACAAATTTTTCATTTCGAAAAAATAGTGTACAATTAATTGAGTTACTGATAATCTTACAGACTTACTTTCCTCAACACTACAAATGTCTAAGCATCATTGATGATCTAAAAGAATTGGACAGGGGTTGGGATGGATGCCAGTGACAATGGTATCTCAATGAAACTTGATCCAGCGAGGAGTGTGGATGATAGAACTTGCACATTGCACAGGACCGAAAAACTAATGGCAAAACTGGCCAACTGCCTCACCCTCCTCGGAAAGGCTCTTCAGACATACCCCTCCCTTAATTTCTTCTATCAAGACAAAAATTATTGAGATGAGGATGATGATGTTAGAAGAAACTAGTACATTGGGGTTTTCCTCAAGCACTGCAGCCATCTGGCTTATTGTACTTCTCTAGTTCCTTAATTCAATCAATCATCTTGATTCTTCTCTTAAAAAGTTATCATTTACTGTTGCTGCTACAATACCTTTCTAGCATTTGCCTCGGGTCCCAGGTTAGGTCTCCATTGATACGAGTGGCTTATTTTAGCATAAGTTTACTGTGCCTAGCACCCCTAGAGTTTATCCACTTCTCTTTTTGTCATTTTTGGGTCCATTCTGTGATGGAGGATTCTGTGTTTGTTTTTGTTATCCTAAGAATACATTCAGGGCCTTACATATCTTCCTCTGGCCAGTATGTCTGCTTTTTTTTAACCAAAATTCCTTTGTGTCCTGATACTCAAGATATCATGTTTCCCAGGTTTTGGATGCTTTCACATCGACTAGTTTTGATGTAATAATATTTTTACATGCTAATGCTTTAATAGTTGCTTGACTGTCTGATCTTTTGAGGATTTCTGAGATTCATAGGATACTTTGGGTCTTATTAGTGAGTATGTAGCCAATGTGGTCATTGGAGATATTTTTCTTTTTTTATGTGCTGCAGGTGAGGGTTCCAGGTTAATTTCTTTCCAAAGTTTATCACAAAGTGTTTAACCTAGTTTTTCTTATTTTGCAAGCATTTCCTATCTTTGGGTCATCTGTATGCCATAGAAGATCTACAGGTTTTTCTTCTATTTTATCCTTCAATTTTGTTTTCTTTTCAGTAATTACTGAAAGTCTGAAACCTCTCGATGAATGGTTTTTCAAAGTAATTTTCTCTGATGAGTCAGATATAGTTTTAGCCATGTCAGTTAATTTAACTTGTCAAATATGCTGGCCTTACTTGTAATTGTTGAGGCTTTCTTTCCACCAATGAATTCTCACAGGGGTCGTGGTAGCCGTCATCAGGTTGATAGAATGTTGTATAATCATGTACCTCGTAGACACCGCAGTTATGCATTCGTTTTCGTAGTCTCTGGCCCTTTTTTTTCACAATATCCTTCCCCCAAGAGCAGACATCGCATTTTCTGAATTGTCTCTGGCTAGTATTGAAATAAGAACATAAAAAAATTTTCTTGGATGAAATCACTTTTCCAATGTTTAGTTCTCAATATTTCTGTGAAGTGGTTACATTTGTGTGTTAACAGTTAATAGACATGAATAATGCATTAGTGACAAACGTATAATTTGAAAACATGTAAGCAAAGGAAGACAGATTTTTTTAAAATTAATGTTTATTATCGATTACATTTTATTTCTTTCTAAACTATTCATGAAATTTCCAAAAAATTTTTCATTAAAAATTACACAATTTGTTTTTTACTTTTTTATTTCTTTGAGCCCTAAAAGAAACAGAAAGAAAATACTGAAAGACTAAACTCTTTTGACTTGAATACAAAATAATATATTTTTGTTTATGTTATATATATACATATTCTTTTTATACAATATAAGTCAAAAAGAAAAAAACTATAGTCCCTCTATAAATGCAGTGAAGTGATATATATACTTTTTTTTATTTTTCTCTAAAACTTAGAAGAGCACTTGGTTACACAAAAACTGCGTCAATCCATACAGGCCAATGTAAAAACCAACAACCAACACATAAGTTTTTCTTTCGACCTAATGAGCAAAAGGCGTATTTGTTATAACAAAATAATCCGATATAAATCTGTAGGCGTACACATAAAAACTTTTATCTCTCATTTCAAAGACCCTGTGGAAATTTATAAACATACAAATATTATTTAAAATCTCAAGCAGAACGAATGTATGGTATATTAGTCAACACAGAAGAAAAAAATAGTACGTACTTAACACTAAAATATTGCATTTATGTAAATTTTGTCTTTTTTTATAAACAATTTTTACACAGTTGCTAATTTGAATACTTTAAGGCATTGAATAAAAGAAAGCCTAGACTTAAAGGTAACTAAGTTTGAAAGATGGTTGCAAATCATGGTCTTCCTCCTCACCCTCCTCCCCATGCTTATGAATTCCATAACAATCCACATTTTTATGTTTAACTTGATAAAGAAACAAAATGCAAATATATAATCCCTCGATTAAACCTAATTAAAACATAGCTACCACCTTTTTTATTGGATTTTTTCCCAAATAAAAGCTGAGGAAAAATAATTCTCCCTTCAAGGAACGCCAAGACAAAAGTACTCTTGTGTTTTGCATGATGTGAGATCACATTCAACTTCTTTTCTAAGGCATACAAAACTGTAGTCGACCAGTCTAAATATCACTTAAAAGTTTACTGAATTGAAAAAATATCGATACAACCAGCCTGGGTTTGAATCGAGATGATTAGTCTTTGACTGCAAGCTTTTTTTTTACTATTTCCAATCTGTTGAGAATTTAACTTAAAAAAAAAAAAAAAATGATGACCGATCGTTAAACATACGAGACAAACTGATAGACACAATTCAATTTTTAAAATTTAAACAAGAATACAAGAAAACTAAACAATTATAACAGACATAAACAGAACATATTTTAGCAGTTAATGCTCAAATAACATCGAGTTTTCAAGCTCGGGAATAAGTAAAATTGTCAATTATTGCAAATTTAACTTACGAATGTATGATTTATACACAATTTTTCAACGTAAATGAGAAATGTTTTTATTTTCTTAAAACACCCTTCATCTTGTATATTCTTTGGTTTAAAACATATAAATGTAAGACATACATAATCAGCTTACAAGACCCGCTCGCGATTCTGAAGACCAATTGTTGTGTTTTGTGATGCTGCAGCACATGGGTGGTAAACGTTGAAAAAAAAAAAAAATTGTGTAAAAATGTATATACAAGGATTGTTTCTTTATTTATTTTAAAAGCTGGGAGTCTTTTAAAAATATATATATATATATATTCTAATCACAATTATGCTGGAATTTTTGTTTTTGAAATATAAATTAAATTTGCTTAAATGCACTCCTCATTAAAATTGGCCAATTGTCAAGTTTGTGAGAGAAAATTTTCAAAATATTTAGTTAATGCTTTCTTTCTACTGGTAACTCAACTTAACTTTAAACTGGTGTTTAAGTAGTAAAGTTTGTTCGTAAAAACTATCAAATTACTGAAAAGAGATGACAATTTGATTAAATTTCATTAAGGAGTTTTTAAACAATTAATTTTTCCCCAAAAAAATATGTTACTATATTAAATTACAAAATCTATTTACTAATAGGCATTGGTAACAAATTATATTTTGTTATGCTTTTAACTGAACGAACTGTTTATAAGGTGAATTAAAGCCACATATCGATATAATTGAAAGAAAAAAAATCTTGAAAAATTAGAATAAAAACATTAGGAAAATGTAATATAAATACACTGGACATCACAGGTACAAACTTAAATACGGAATACAATATGCACAACAATCAGATCACACATTTTATAATGATAAACCTCAACATCTCTTTTTCTCAGTTAAAAAAAATTCTCTTTCATTTTCTGAACAGATTTTTTGCTTTATAGCCTCTACTCCCCCTTATTCTGTTCGGTTTTAATTATAACAATAACAACAGACAAGTCTGTTCAATGCAAAAAAATAATGAGAAGCGGCTTTCCAGTACCAGGCTTCTGGCTGCTATAGGAAGTAGGGGGTTATGTTTCTTGGTGGGATCACCCTCTCATTCTCCGGGACGGCTGCAAAAGTGATCGGCTCACTCTGGCCGACAGTCTTGAAGGCGAGGATCGCCGCGATGTTACCACACCTGTAGCAGTAGTTTGGGGCGGACCATACGGTGACAAGTTGATCGTCAAACATATATTTAAGACCTGCAATTAAATTAAAGCACATACCTGTTAAATAATGCTTTTTTAAAATTATATCAGTTACCCAAGCCCCATAGCAATCCACAACAGAGGCCAAGTGGTTAGGGCATCTGACCATACCCACATTAGTGGTTATGGGTTCCAATAATTCCACTGCCCATGGTTTTTTAATGAATTAGTATGAAAAATGTACTGCAAAGTGGTCAGACCCCTCATCCATGACACCCAGTGGGTACTTGGATGTTAAGCTCTCTGTAAGACATATAAGTCGCAATTTTAGCCAAAAAATTTCCTATATTCAACTATCACCATCCCCACCCATCTGTTTCATTTTAGATTTCTCTATTGAAACTTTTCAGCAGTTCTGGATGTCTAAGGAACATATGACAGATTTTGGCAAAAAAGTAACTAACCGTCCTCACATCTGTACTTCATTCACACACACACACACACACACACACACACACACACACACACACACACACACACACACACACATGACTCAAAAGGCATGAACTCAACAAACTCCAGACTTCTTAAAAGAAAGCTTGCATAAATAATAAAAACTGATTCTGAAAATCAAACGACATATTTATATCACCATACTGAGTTTGTCATAATGTTCCAACCTCCACAATATCAATCTAAAACTCTCTGAACTTAACAAACAATTGATTTTACTGGCAAAATTGTAGGATTTAACAGACAGAGTTGTACTTTTTGGAAAATTACCTTCATGAACAAGTTGATGGGCTCGACAAATCAATTTGAGCTTGTTCAATTCCATGAATTCCTTTGTGACCAGCGCACCGAAAAGCCATCCGGCTCCTCTAGGGCTCACGCTCCATGTGTCTATATCATCAGGATCCGACCAAACGAGATCACAGAATGCTCCTAAAATAATTTTTAAAAAAATTTAAGAAAAAAATAAATAAAGACAAATAATAAAAAATGCATTTAAGAAATAGACCTAGGGAAGGGAAGATTTGATTGAGCTTGTTTTAAAAATGTTACCTTTATTAGGAATTTCTTTGTTTCTTTCTATACACCTTATTTGATCTAAGGTCATAATATCTGGTGAAAGGCCTCCATGTACACAGAGAATTTGTTCATCAATTAACTATAATTTAAAAAAATATATATATACAGATATAATTTTGATAGTTTACAATAAAAAATAACTTACAGCTGCAATAGTTAACATATCAAAAACTTTACAACAATACTTCCAAGCATTCGCATTTCCATATTTGTTATGGCATTCGTCTGTAAAAAGAGATTTAAGAGAAAAAGATAAATTAATGCGGCATGATCAAAAGATAACAAGATCGTACCGTAGAAACCGTAGACTTGAGTGATTTGGCGTGTTTCGTGATTGCCCCTGAGCAGGGTTATCTTGTCTGGCCAGCGAGCTTTTAGGGTGAGGAGCCTCGTGAAGGTCTCTAGACTGTAATAGCCACGGTCAACAAAATCGCCCATGAATATGTAGTTGGTGTCAGGAACTTGGCCCCCCGATCGGAAAAGCTGTTCCATATCATAAAACTGGGGGCAAAAAATGAACTTGATTAAATAAAAAAGCTCCCTGAAGATGGCAAAATGTCAAAATATGTCTGACTGAACAAAAAGGCAAGGCCTAGGCTGACCAAGATAATCGGAAATAATAAAACTGCAGGTTCATCGCTTCAAAAGCCTTAAGAATAAATATAAAAATACAAAGAAAGACTTTATTAAATAAATAAATATTCTCTGAAGATGGCAAAATGTATCCGACAAAAACACAAAGATAGCATGACCAGAATGATCGGAAGGTTCATCGCCTCTAGAACAAATATCAGTAAACAAGTATCGCACAAACACTAAAAACGGAAAAATATAGCTCCTTAAGACCATTAGGGCGGGCACCTAAGTGCAGAATCAAATATCTCACAATGTCTATATTCCTGAATTCAATATTTGATAAGGACTTAACTGGGAGAGATCTAATGTTTGTTGTAGAGCTTAACAAGTTGTTTTACATGGTAATAATTTGTACCTAAATAAACTCATCAATGAGTTTTTACATTTTTTTTAAATTTGTTTATTTTTTCTTGTACATTCTTTTTTAGTCTTAGAGTTCAACGTTTAAGTTGTTTTAAGAAAAGTTCAAAATTTTATTTTTTTGGTTTATTGCATAAATGTAGTTGACCTTATGTGGGTCAAAGCGTTTTTTGTACATAAATTCTTTAATTTCGGGCGTGTATTTACTGTTAGAAGTGAGAGATCACTTGAGTTTAACATGAGTGTCTCGAGTTAAATCTAGTAGTTATATGTACGTAATAAGTTAATATTTGTTTTAATGTATGTTTTAACATAAATTTAATATTTTCGGTCTGATACGTTTGACGGTAAAAGTTAATTCTTTTGAAATAATGTAAACGATCAAACCTGGCCATGGATGTCGCCGCAGACTGTGACTGGGGTCGATACGGGCTGAACGTTGGCCTCTTCGAGCAGAAGATCACAGACGATATCGCACAGTTTCTGTGAGGGAAGGACAAAAGGAAATCAAATATAATATTTTATTAAGATCGGTCCGTCATGTCGTTGTGCCGTGTCAGATCAGGGCAGCAACTTGCCTTCAGGTCGTTTTCGGGCAGGTACTTGCAATTCTTGGCGATGTTTATCCACTCGTCGAGGTCCGTCATTTTCCTGGATCCCGATCACCCACGGTCAACGGCACTGTCCACCCTTTATTATTATTATTATTATCAATCCGCTCCTCGGCGATTTAGGTTATGGCCCCTCGTCATATTTGATACATCCCGACGCACTGGCTGTGCCACGGTGCCAACTCGTGCAGAGGTTAACCTCAGGTGGTAGAGGTTTCCAGTTTAGAACAAATTCCGATAATGTCGCATTTTATGTTTCTCCTGTTTTACAACACATATTATTTTGGGACCCTCCAATCCCCATTTCCTGGTGAGCTCAAAGGAAATATGGATTGCGGTTAACAACCATAGAATCTCCTTGATTTGAGATAAGGCAGGATACGGGCGTCCATATTGGTCAACCCAATTGGCGTTTATGGTTTTGTTTGTAATTAAATTCCGTTAGAGTTGTATTGTATAAGAGTTTTCTCATTTTAAAATATACTTTTGTGACCTCCCAAACTCTGTTGGTGAGCTAAAGCAAAGAACTGGATTTCGATAAACGACCATAGAATATACATGATTGCGATGAGGCGGGATACTGGCATGCAATGCTAAGAAAATATAAAAGAATGCATTGCTTAATATTAATATAAAAGATCTGGAAAGGGATTAATACTTAAAAGGAAGGAGAATAACATCCTAACGAGAGAATATCTTGTACTCATGGCTCGTAGAGACAATATGAACAGAATATTTCAATTTAGGCAAAACTTACAGGCAAATCTAAATGCCAAAAATGAGTGGGAAAAGGGAAAACCCTCAGTCAAGATGCACTGGTGGATTTGGTACGCAAGAAAATACAGGAACTCCAAAACCAAATATTCAGACCCATAGGCACATACGTTGCTCTTTCAAGCTCAAATCCGTGCTATTGTAAAGTAATTCCTGTGTTACAGGAGAGCTTAAGGTCCAGTTACCTTTTGGGTGTCGCAGACTGTTGGTCAAACCACTTTACAACACTTCTTTCATACTATTCTCAATTAAAAAACCATGGGAACTCTGAACCCAGGACAGCTAGCATGGCAAATGAGTCGGGTGCTCTAACCACTTAATCTATGCAATTGAGAAATGATCTCAATTCAATTTAAACAGAGGATATAAAAACAAAGCAAACAAACAAACATGCCAGGCTGATTATTTATTTTTTTAATGAGGGTTCACATCAGCGGAGGCCATAATCATATCAATACTGGCTTTGGGGTGTTGATATAAAAACCCCATTTGTTAATATGGCAGCCACCAACACCCCCGCTGACTTTCTCGGTTGTCTTCAGCCTTTCTCTGTCATAGGGTGTTGTTCTACCAATGAATCTTTTGTCACTTCCATTCAACAAAACTTTACAAAGCCAAGGGCTTCTTGGCCTATGCTATTCACTACCCATATTTTTGACTCACAGGCTGTATAAACATTCAATTGCGTCACATCTTGGGCAGTGTATGCACTCAATAAGTTAAATCATAGTGGAGTAGTGTAAAAGAGTTATTTGACCTTTCAGTATTCTACCAGTTAAATAGGAGTATATTATTTGACATAGATACATAGGGAATCCAGCTTACTTCATTTTGTGCATTATAGCTGTTGAAAATCTAGAAATACAGCTAGGGTGTGATCCTTTTTTTTTTCTCTCTCAAATCCTCTTATAATGTTTCATGTCGCCTCTTCATGAGACTTATTTTTGCACTTTGTATTTTAAATTTTATCAGATATCCCCAAGAAGGAAATTGTACAAATCAAAGGATGTGTATTCAGGATGAAAGTGTCAAAAAATTACTACATTTTTTTAAAAGTTACTTTATTTATGCATTATTTAAAGAACCAGTGAATAACTCCATAATATATATAATAGTACAAGTAAACATCTGAATTATTTTTAGAAACAATGTTAAAACATTGAAATTCTTGCTTACTTTTATTTATTTATTTTTTTACGGTCTATAATTGCATTGTGTATTTTATCATTAGACATTTTCTCTTTGAGTTTAAATGCAATCCCAACATTTTTTTTCACAAAAATAGTATATACATATCATCAAATTCACGTACATTTTTTATATATGAAAATATCACCAACTTTTTAAAATCTATTTTCCATACAACTACTAAGGTACTTTTCTTTTTTTATTAAAGAACTAGACTTTTCGTTTTTTATTATATTTATTTTTTTTGTCACCGATTCCGTTTTAAATCATCATTCGATCCTTTTTCTCTAACAAAACGCACCATTTCAATGGGATTTACAGTTTTTTTTACTTTTGTCAAAAGTACAAAAAAAAAAAAAAAAATCAGTTAATTAATTGTAACAGTTTTGAAAAATTTTAAATTTATCAAACATGGAATGAAATAGTTTAAAACTCTTTAACACTCTGAATATGCATGGACATTGAGCTTATTTGAAGTTATTTTAGCGTTAAAAACGTACACACATTTAATTTAAAAAAACAAGAAATTCTATTAAAAGGTGTCAAAGGCAATTTTCAATATATATTTTTTGTAATATATGTATATATTATTAGGAAATTCTGACTATATATTATGAATTTTAAATACAAAAATTCTAAATTTTCTCAATCCAAAATCAGTCTCATAGTCCGACCGAAGTCTCCAACAAGGCTTTTCACAGCTTTCGTTTTTTTTTTCTCTCATAGAAAAAAATCTTTTCTACAAGCCAACCACGCGAACGCGGACAAAATTTATGTGGAGGCCACTTTTATTTAGATATTAATTTTTTTAAAGTGTAATTGGCAGTATTATATAGAAATAATTCAAACATTGAAATGTTGCAATGCTACCACACCAATAAGATAAAAAATGTTTCCCTTTTTTTAAAAATTGTTTATCATGTAATTATTTGGAGGGAATAGTGCAAAAAAATTAACATTGAACATTTAAACTTTCAACAGGTTATTTTGAAAAATATGGTAATCTCCGCTTCGATACAGTTTTGTACTTCTTTTAATTATAATATTTATTTATATATACTTTTTGTTTTAATATATTAATCGACATTTAATACACTATTTTTAAACACTGGGACAGTTATAATATACAACACATTTTTTTTTTCTATAGAAAATAATCAACGTTCTTAACAACATAATAGAAACTAAAAATATGGTAAACACAGTAATTAAGTACATATAAAACAAAATTATCAAATACATTTTTTATACAATCTATATATAAAATCTATATATATATATATATATATATTTATATGTTAAAGAATAGACTCTTGAACCATAATAAAAGAAGAAAATATTATGAACACAGAAGAGAAAAAAAGAAAAAGAGAATAAATAAATTATACAAGATAAAATTTTGCTTAAAATATTACAACTCTACACATGGTCATGGTAGGGCTCAAGGTATAATCGTATATACAAAAATATTAGATAAGTAGAAAATAAAAATAAAACAAAATAAAAGAAATAGATAAAGAGGGAAAAATGAGATAATTGGTCTCAATGTGGCAGTGGTTGCCGGTTTACCAATCGTGAGATCACATCATTCTTATACATGATAAGCATTTTTTAGGTACATTAGCCCATGCCCGATTAGACACTGACAATCACTGCAACGTGCGTTTTCCAACTTCTGTTTAATTTGCCTTTTCAGTTACAAATAACTATTAATAATATTTACAAACATGAGCAATTTCGTATGACGTCAAAAAACTATAATTATAATCGAGAGATAAAAAAAAATATATATATACCAAAAACCAAAATATGTTACTGAACTTGTACAGGATTTTAATTTGTGCATGAGCCAAGCTTGATTTATAAATGGCAGTGTTGTTGTTTTATGAATTACGACAAACAGAAAGTGAAAATTCTATGTCAGAAGGTTCGACGGTTAAGGGGAAATGTAACGAAAGAATACTTGACACGTGCACACAACCCGAACCCGACGTTGTAATTAAAACGTCGCTGATAAAATACAATATAAAAATAAGAATCTTATTGTTAAACATTTAAAAATTCAACTATTTAGTCGATTCGTTGGCAAAAGACACTTAGTAAACATTTAGCACCCTTAGTGGGGCAAAGTAGCCACATCAATTATAGTGTGTCTAACAACCAGAATGCAAACATTGATAAAACATTTAAAACTTTGTACAAGAACAATTATAAATAGAGAGAATTTTCAAATTTAATTAAATTTTTTCTTTAATAATAATAATTTCTCTTATATATTTATATATATTTGTTATTTAAAAATAGTGAGTTTGCTTATTAACATGTGATTTACTTTTTTGAAATTTAAAGATTTTTTTTCTCTTTAAAACATTTGAAATTGTGGTCAACCCAGATAGAAAGTGAGAGAAAATTTAAATACAGAAGAAGGTTTGGTAACGTAATTAATTTCATTGGGGTTGGGTTTGATTTTTAATTATATTATTCAGCTTTTCATTTTGTTGCTGATGGTCACGCCCCACTACAGTCTATCTCGACGATGTCTTTCGGTACATCGACAAATTGGTAAACCAATCTTTGTCCATCGACTTTGGCCAGGATCCCTCTCTGGTAGTAATATCTGAGGAGGAAAAAATTAGCCATAAGAAATTTAACAATTATTATTGATTTCATATAATTAATACTGTTTATGGCTTGATATTATGAAAGAAAATGTAAATTTTAGTTACCTGAGAGCCCGGCCCATTGTTTCGTAGTTCATATCTGGCTTGTTTTTGTGAAGTCCCCAAAGCCTAGAAACAGCTTTGGAATCGACAAGCTTGAAAACACCCTTCTCCCTATTTGTCCACTTGATATACCTTGGGCAGTAATCCCTGTCTTGTAGAAGCTTAAGAAGGAATTCCCATAGGTATGTCGTTGAACCTGAAAATAATAACATCGAGGCTGTTAAATTTAATTGAGCAATGTTCCGACCACATCAGTATAATTTTGCCAATTTATTAAATAGATACAATTTTGTGAATCCGCTGATACTGGAGTTGGCTCGGTTATCATTTCTAAAGGCAGAATACTCCAAAACAGACAAATTTTCATCGAATTTTAGTGCCAAATTTATATGAAGTTTTCCAACTCACCTTCTCGGCTTTTCCTCTTGGGTCCTGTCGCTGTTGGCGATTCTCCGCTCCTCGCCCTCTTGACCTTCTTTTTCATCCTGTGCTGGAAACCAAGGTCAAAGATGGACAGGTCGTCATGTGAGCTGGAGGCGGCAGCTTGTATCACGGACGCCCTGGGCGGTGAGGGTGCTTGTGGGGGTGCAAAATAATTTTGTGGTGGTCCCATGTAACCTGTGGCGGCTCCTCCTCCTCCACCACCGCCGCCTCCTCCTCCGCCTCCTCCTCCTCCACCTCCTCCTGCTCCACCATATCCATCAGTGACTGTAACATTAAAATATATAAATTTACCAATTGTTACTTTATTATGATAGAAATAATAATAAAAAAGAAAAGGTTTTTTGCATTAAATTGTGAGATTTGAGAGAGTAGCAAGGATTAAATAAAACAATAGTCCTTTATACTGGTCTATTTAATTACTGAATTAAAAAAATGGGAAAACAGCAAAAAAAAAAAAAATGTGTGGCAGATGGCATTCATGAAATGCCCAAAAAGATTGTGATGGACAGGCATTAGTGTGGAATGCAGGGAGGTGTCTTGTACCTCCTTCTGCCACTGCCAACTTGCAATGCAAACCACACTTGATCCTTGGTACTAGAGGGTAAGCAATGACCTGGTAGCATCATTTCCTTGTTTAACAGTATCAAAAAAAAGGAAGATTTGTGCCAGAAGGCATTCATGAAATGCCCAAAAATATTGTTTTTTATGGGTAAGCCATATTGTGGAATGCAGGGATGTGAGTGATACCCCCTCCTGCTGGCGCCAGACTTGCAACAAGTACCAACACACTTGACAAGGATACTTGAAGCTGAACACTGACCAAGGATAACACTTCCTTGTTTAAAGTATTCGAAATGAAAGAAAGATTTATGCCAGAAGGCAATCATGAAATGCTCAAACATATTGTTTGATGAGCCGTACTGCGGAATGCAGGGAGGTGTGTAGTACCTGCAACAAGGACCCACACTTGACATTTAAGGGTACTTGAAGCCAAACACCGAGGGCAACACCACTTCCCTGAGCCGATCTTTAAAGCTATGACGATCACAGTGGATGAAAACGCTGCGTTTCCGACCTAGGGCAAAGGCTTGTGTTGGCCGGCCTATCGTGCACTCCCTTGAACCTGCTTCCCACACCCACCTATAAATAAAAGCCGTCCGGCCCTCATCCGCCGTCCGCGAGCGTAAAAATACGAAATTGAAAATAGTGGGGCGGATAGTCCTGGGCCAGAGGTTTCGTCTCGAGAGAATCGCTTTCCGCCTTGTAAATATTTGGCGAGAGGATGTTCTCCGAGTGTGTGGGAGTTGTCCTTGGATCTTCAAGATGGCTGCCCAGCGTGCATTGACCAGGAAATGGCGCTCGGCCACTTTGGCCTTCCACACAACCTCTTTTATTAGCCGGGAACGGGCACCCGAGCCGGCTAAAAACCCTTTTTTCAACAAGGGACCCGATAGTAAAAAGGACGGGGAATCCGCTCAAGCCAAGGACATGGGATGACCGTCAAGCCCTAAGGGCCATCACGAGTTTCCTCTCTCCGCCTATAATACGCGACGACCCTAAAACCGTTTAAATTTCACGCTGAACAACCCTTCAACAGCCCCACTAAACATGAAAAGGGCGAAGACTCGCAGATCACTAGACTTTGACATTCTACCTGGCACACAGACATTAAGGATTATCGATTACCAAACGATAGGATAACTCCATTAGGAACTTAAATCAAAGTCTAAAGAATTAATTAAAGATCAGAAACTTTTAAGAAAGCCTGGCGAAAACATTACTGTTTTGTCGCCGACGTTTCAAGAATAAGCATTGATCTTGGAGATAAAAATCAAAGACACTACTCGTAATTCTTGTCCCATGAAGTTCAACTAATTAAGAAAAGCTGGATGGCTCAATGCCAGAAATACTCGTAGATTCCTGATAGATCATGATTTGCAATATTCAACAAAGCTTAAAAAAACTCTTAAATCCTTTTAAAACAAAGCTTCTATTGTGAAAGTATAATAAAGTAATGAACGAACCTCTAATGTTAGACTCGAGAAGCTTTTCTAGGGGGAAAAAAAGTTTATTTGTTAAAAAGCTTCTTGATAATCCAGGTTGTTGGGTCAGGACATTGGGACGTTACCAAATCTCGATTTGTGCTGAGAAAGGAGCTGAGTATGGACGTCTAATCTGATTTTAAAACAATATTTAATCAGTTTTGATTTTGGGAAAAGTCAATATTTACGGGAAGTACATCAAGGGGGCTGGGATTAGAACGGCGTCGCTATCTCTACCTCCTAATCACCGCCGGGGTGGATGAAATTTATACCGTTATCTGCTCTTAATCGCCCCATCCCAGTATTTCTGAACAAATGGAAAGGAATTTTCGCCTGGACAGTGTTGGTAAATGGGCGAAATTTACGCCCCGGAGGGGGGGGGGCATGACTGTTTTCCGTATAATGCCCTTGCAAGAAATTTGGAATCCTTTTGTTCTAATACTTTGCAAAAAAAGAGAATTACTTCCTATCTCCAGGCTTTATTTAAAAAGCGTTAAAAGCCCGGCCTTGTATTTTAAGACCGTTGCACTCGTAAATGCTCAGTCAATTGGAATAAACAAATTATTGACTTAAACTGTCTGACTCAGACGGTTTGACATCAAGTTAAACCATCTGCAAACATAAAGTAAAAACATTAACTTAAATTACTAGATCAGTGCCAATCGTGATAGTTTTGACAAGGTTCTAGAATAGAAAGAATCACCAGTCAGCCGGTGTCTTGGCGATTTACAACTATTAAAAGCCGAAATATTGACAAATTGTCGTTTCCCGTTGTGATAATTTCAATTATCCTGTTTGTTGTGAGCGCCTCGATCAAAACTGTCCCCCTATTCTAGCTGTTAAACTTGGCCCAGACGCGTTTCTGCTCTTGGCCGCCTTCATTAAACGGGTTAAATCATCACAGCGGAAGCTTCTGTACCGTTTGGCACCGGGCGAACAGCTAACAGTACGGACCAGAGTCTAATAACTGTTCTATTAATATGCGTTTTCAGGAGGGAAAATAGTGAGAAATCGTTCCCTATTTGACTATCTGCAATAGTAGGTCGGTTTATTCTAACGTAACAGTTCAGGAAAAGGTCGCGGAATCGAAAGTGAACCAGCACTCGATAAAAAGGGAAAAAATCATTTCCTACATAGTTTTACTCAGTATTAAGTAGGTTATTATAAGAACTTATAGCACAGGAAAGATGGAATAGTTCAGGAAAAGGAAAAGGAAAAATCTTTCTTCCACATTCTCCAACTATGTAGATTTTACCTATTTTTTCTGTCCCACCTTGAAAAAATTGAAGTGTAACGTCACAGGAAAAATATATTAAAACAAACTTTCATTTGCATTTATATTCCATAGTCCGTATTTCTAAAAGATGGAGTAGCTAAGGTTAAGAAAAATCTTTCTCCACACTCTCCTACTACGTATGTGTTTTTGTCTATTTTTTTGTGTAACAGCACATGAAAAATATTTTGAAAAACTTCCTAAAAATTAAAATGTATCAGCACAGGAAAGTTATAAAACAATTTTCCTTCGCATTTATATTCAATAGTAGGTGTTTTTTAAACGACATAATAGTTCAGGATAGAGAAAAATCTTTCTACACACTCTCCAAAAATGTACCAGCGAAGGAAAAATATAAAAAAAGTTCCTTCACATTTATATTCAATAGTAGGTGTTTTTAAAAGATGCAATAGCTCAGGGTATGGAATAATCTTTCCTCACGCTCTCCAACTACGCGGTTTTTTCTGCCACAACTTCAAAAAATTGAACGCAACAGCACAGGAAATATAAAAAAAACGTTCCTTCATATTTAGTATATTCAATGGTACGTCTTTGTTTAATACGCAATTGCTCAGGACAAGGAAAAAAATTCCTCCAAACTCTCCAACAACATATAATTTTCTTCTGACACACCCTCAAAAAAATCTAAGTTAAGTTAGTTTATAAAAGCACAGGAAGAAAACGTTTCCGTCATATTTATATTCAATAGTTTTTTACTTTTGTAAACACAACTTTTTAAAAATATGGGTTAGCCAACGAAAAATGTTCCCTACGCACTCTCCAACCACTTAGGTGTGTTTTCTGCCACGCCTAAAAAAAAATTAAAGTGCAACAGCACAGGATAATGTATATTCAATTGAATGTGCCTTTTTTAAAAAGTCGGAAGAGCTCAGGATAAGGAAAAAAAAATTTTTCCACTCCCTCCAACAAAGGAGGTGATTTTTTGCCTATTTTTTGCTGTTGACCCTTCAAAAAATTAATGTGCGATAGCACAGGAAAAATTAAAAAAAAAAACCTTTTATTCACATTTATATTTAATTGAATGTGCATTTTTAAGACAGAACAGCTCAGGTTAAGAAAAAATCTTTTTTTTTCTTTCCTTCTACACCCTCCAACTACGAAGGTGATTTTCGCCTATTTGTTAAATAAAAGTGCAACAGCAAAGGAAAAAACAACATTTCTTTCACATTTATATTTAATTGTATGTGTTTTTTTAAAGACGGAAGAGTTCAGGATAAGGAAAATTTTTTCCTCCACTCCCTCCAAATACGTAGGTGATTTTTGCCAATTTCTTTCCGTTGACCCTCCAAATAATTAACGTGCTACAGCATAGAAAATAAAAACCTTTCCTTCACTACAAATATTTTTGTCTGTTAAACCTTAAAAAAAATTAATACATAACAACACAGGAAAAATATAAATGATGGACCAGGTTATAATATGTACCAGGATCAGGTTATATTAAAAATACTTTCCTCCAGAGCTGAGAAGTGCACTATTTTTGTGGTAGTTTGGGGTATGGTTTACAGGTATTTTCGGTCTCTTTCCGAATTAATAAAAATGTAAAATAGAATCACCGCCTGTTGAAAGTGTCCGAGCTCTTGGTTCCCGGTTTTTATATTTGTACTGGCAGAGTTCCCAGGAACGGCCACGGGAGAAGTGGGAGCTCGTAAGCACGCGACGCCACTGTCAAGGGCGTTATTAAAAAATTTCTAATAATTCCCAGGACATTAGGATTTTTCGGAGGGTTGTCCGATTGTCTTTTGTTTTGTTTAATAATATTCTTTTATCACTATCCTCCTCCCCTCCACGGTACCTGCTTATGTAAGGGGCTATTGCTGAAATAATGCAAGTGTTCGCCTGGGATGCTAACGCCCTGGCCAAGGTCGGGCCCCCTCCACAACGGACGATTCGCCAATATAACAAGTAAACACTCTCCTTTTCAGTTCCAACAAGCCGCGAACAAAAGATCTCCAAAATTGTCCAAAAACCAGGCAAAATTGGAACCGTCAAAAGAATTGCACATGAGACGTGACTTTTTCTATATAAAACATCCGATTTACAAGTTGAAAACCTTTAAAATACAGTTTCTATATATTAGTTTCAATTTTTATACACAAATCCTTGATAATATTTGTAATGGGGAAATTGAAAAAGTGAGACTCCTGCTGAGAAGATTCAATCTGGGTGAATTGTGGGTGAGAATCATTGAAAGTGCCATAATTTTCAAATACTTGGCGTACTTTTCCTATCAAAATCTCTGTTAAAACTCAGATAAAAGATAGAAACATCCAAAAAGTTCATAAACAAACTAATTTACTTTTCGTTAATGAAAATTAGTCGATTGCTGATTGCTCAAATCCGCTCTTGTATAGAGTGTGGTATATACTTCTCGCAGTTCACCGGCAATTCAGCTTTTGTACATTACAATAAATTACCGACAGGAATCACCCACCTCGGGTGTTGGCAGTCAGGGGTCATACCTCGGTCCCTTATCCGTCCAACAGCCGAGGTGGGGCTCCAGAAGCTACCGACAGCTAGGTCAATTCAGCACCCAGTGCATGCAGTTCCTAGATCAAAACACGATCTCGTTCATTCTGAAAAGTACATTCTTTCCTATTTTCATACCATTCACTTAATTTGGAGTTTTACCCTTACACCTATTATATAACTAACTTAATCTTACTTAGGTTACCCTAAGGTCGATTCGCTATTCAAGCTATTCAAAATTCCGCCATCTAACACTAAACATTCACGACAATATATGCATTTACTCTCAGCACACGTCACAGCCTTAGGTGTCGCCTTTCTGTTCCCCCAGACCTATTTGTCCGGGTACCTAGATAACCACCACTATTTTGCCGAGACTCTCCGGTTCAATTCATGGTATTTCATCAACAAGATAATAACAATCCACAACATGCAAAATAAAAAAAAAACAACTTTCAGTGATCATTTAAAATATTCTGATCAATTGATTTTCACTGCACTCCAATAAAATTGTACTAAGCAATTTTATTTACGTGTGTGGTGATTAGTGACCGTTAATCGATAATTATTCAGAAATCGTGAGATGCGGTCTGGTGTGATGTAGGTTTCAGAAAAACATTTTCTTTATCGTGCCAACGTTTCGATCTTTATTGAGATCATCTTCAGGGCTCAAAGTGTTTGTCTTCTGTGTAATTGTGCCATTCTTGCGTGTCGTGCTGGGCAATCTCAACAAATGGCACACGCAAGAATGGCTCAATTACACAGAAGACAAACACTTTGAGCCCTGAAGATGATCTCAATAAAGATTGAAACGTTAGCACGATAACGAAAATGTTTTTCTGAAACCTACATCACACCAGACCGCATCTCACGATTTCTGAATAATTAATTTTATTTACACTCTACTAGATGTTTATTAATAACTGAATTTTCGATAAAATTTTTCTAACAATCGTTATATGAACGTCCAGTCGTGTTATTTCAAATTTTCCCTTGGTTCCAAAAATCTATGATCAGACTTGCCCCATCTAAATATACAGAATCATCAAAAACATGTTCGATAAATCCTGAAAATGGTCAAAAATATTTCTTCTATCTTAGATAATAGTTCAGAAAAAACCTGAGAACTTGATTCAATTCAAAATTGGCAACAATCTTCAACGAAGGTATAAAAATCTACTAATGCAAGTGCCAACTATTTAAATAGTTATTTTTTGTCTTTATTTTCGAAAAAAAAATAGAAACGATCCATTTGCTTCAAGGCAGCAATGTTTTCTCAAGATTGTGTGAGATTAAAGGCAGATCTTTTAGAATGCATGTTTATGACCTTTTTATATTAGATTACTTAAAAAATAATTGTACTTACGTGTTCTGTTGGGGTACGGCTGGGGCTGGTGGTAGTAGGGCGAAAGGAAATGTGCTGTCGGGTACAGTCCTCCCATTGAAGGCGTAGCTGCTTCGGGCGATCTTCTGCACGAGGTGGCTGGAGGGATAACCGAGAAAAGAGAAAACAGAGTATAAAAATAAAACAGTGCCCAGAGCGCGATTAGTAAGAATTGATCTATATTAAATTTGACTAATATAGTCAATATAGACAAGTCTTACCATGGGAAAGACGGGTCGGGGATTTTGGTATTATTTTACCTGTAGTGTGTTGATAATATGTGTGGGGTGGTGGTTGCAGCCTTGCCCTGAGCTCGTCGTTGCTCGTGTGACCGCTGCTTGAACTGTCGACGTCCGATACTCCTGAATCTGCGGGGCTGGGTGGCAGAGAACCTGTCAGAAAAAAGGTTGAATTGAGTTAAAAGTTTCAAATTAAAAGAACAACTGTTGAACATGAAGAAAGAGCGAGGCCAGATGCTCCAACAGACAAAATTACGGCCAGTAGCTGAGGGGATTATTTTCTTGCGAAATGCACAATCCAAATGGTTTCAACTTTGACGAGAAAAAAAGAGCAAAACAAAGCAGTCGTCAGATATTATACGTTAATATATTTATTTTCGAAAATGCATCAAAATATATCGAGAAGAAGAATGAGAATCGATTAGAAAATGTATTAAAATATTGTCTACTCCTTTTTGTTCTTGTAGTTAGATATTATCAAATCCCATAGTTTTTATACATATTTGGTCTTCTCCTCCCATAGTTTCTACCTATTTTAAACTCTTAAAAAAGCGTAAGCTTTCATAATAATACGAACTCAGACGGTGTTTTTCAAAATATTCCCGTCATTTTTTTCAGATTGTTACGTGTTTTAAAGCTGTCTTTTAAGGAAAAACGATTTTTTCATCAGTTTCCTTTTACAATAATACAAACACCCCACAGTTTTTATACATGGTTGTCTTCTCCTCCCATAGGTTTTACTCATTTAGAAGTCGTTTTACCATACCTGCTTGTTTATGTGTTTTTCACCATTCCCAGTGTTCACTTGTTTGTGGGTTTTATGTTGTCTATTTTGTTTATGAATAAGTTCAATTCACTAATTTCGTGGTCCGCTTGACCAATTAATATCTTACAATTAATTAAGGTTTTCAGTTGAGATAAAAAAGTCAATGGCACGAGCGGGATCGAACCCACCATCTTCGGCTTGGTACGCCGCTGCTCTCCCACTTGAGCTATCGTGACCTCGATCCACTCGGACACCAACTTCCGACCTCAACCACACATTTTGAATTTTTTCCTCCATTTTGCCATTCAATTCAAATTCAAAAGGTCACGATAGCTCAAGTGGTAGAGAAGCGGCTTATCAAGCCGAAGATATCGTTGGTTCGAATCCCGCTCGTGCCATTGACTTTTTTATCTCAACTGAAAACCTTAATTAATTTTATGATTAAGTTTTACCTATATACCTTTTGCTACAACTTCCTTACTTAGGTTTTTTTAAGCAACGATTGTTTATTTTAAACTTGCTTATCCATAATTATATTGTTTGTAGTTGTTTTTAAACTTGCTTGACAGTAATTATACATGTTTAACGGTTTTAAGTAGCTTCTATTTTCGATTTGTCACATGCTGTTGTTATTTTTGTGTTCTTTGTTGTTTGTCGGTTTTGTTTTGTGACAGTTGATCCAATTTATTTTTAATTTATATTGTTTTTATAAAGCTGCACCTAGATAACGATCTTTCTGTTTGGATTCCTTGAGAAAACCGCCGTCTAAGTCCAAGTCCGACGGTTGAGTGAAGGGTTGAGGACAATGGCTGTCAGTGGGATTAATATGAAGTCATCGCTTTGCCCAATTATTCAAACGGCCCCCGGCCCATTGGACAAAAGGCAAAAGGGGTTCCCCTTTGTCCTCGCTGTTTGTTTTGGTCATCTTCTTCCCTAATCCAAGAAAGGGTCAGCAACGGACTTTGGATACGTGAAAAATCATCTTTCACACTCTCTCTCTTCTCATGAGGGAGAGGAAAACTTATATGTTTACCAGGGGTTTTTATTTCTTTTCTTTAATTCTTTAGTCCCCCCCCCTCCGAAGGCTCGTAAACTCAAATGTCTCGTAATTTTATGCGTTTAGCATATTTCCTATTATCCCTTGTTTGAACTAAGTTCATAAACTATCAAGAGCAAAAGGGGATTCTGGATGGGGGGTCCCACCGAATATCCCTCTTCCCACCAATCTTTAAATATATAAAAATGCTAAATATTTGTTTGTTATATTGTAAGAATAACAAAATTTATTCAATTAAATTTGAATTGTTTTTATGCTCTCTCAGGCTCCAGCAGTTTTGTTATAAACGTTTTCCCTTCCCTACCATATTTTCTACTTATTTTAAGGGATTTTGTAAGATTGCCTATTTGTTTTTTGTTTTCCTTTTCCGATACAATACACATGTTCACCCTTTCCTCCCATCGTTTGTACTTATTTGAAAGTCGTTTTTAAGATTGCCTACTTGTTTTTATGTTTGCTTTTATAATAATAAAAAAACCATGGTTTTCTACGTCTGTCCTCTCCTCTCGTAGGAGTATTTTACGTATTTTAAAGCCGTTTTAAGGTTGCCTGCTCCATTGTTTTATAATTGTATGCTTCACAATAAAAACATTTTAGAATAGCCCCTCGAGTTCTCCTCATGTTTTAAAGAGTTTTTAAAGACAGCCGGCTTTTATTTTTGCCATGTAAACATTCAAAAGAAATACAGACGTAGATATAGTAAATGTTTGTCCTGCACTCTCTTTGTTTTTATATATTTTAAAGCCTTTCTTAGGGTTGCCTACTTGTTTTTCTATTTTACTTTTACAATAATGCAAATACCCGTAGATTGGCCTTTCCTCCCATAGTTTTTACTGGTTTTAGAATCTTTTTGAAGGCTGCCTACTTGTTATTATGTTTACTTTTACAATGATGCAAATACCCGTAATATTACACATGTTTATCCTTTCCTCCCATAGTTTTTAATTATTTAAAAATTAATTTAATCAGCGAGTGTAAGCGGACCATTCAAAGAAATCCTTAGAGATTTTAGAGAGAATTGTCAAAAACAAATCATTGAGAGAAATATTTTGGAACTAATGAATAGTTTTGACGCAAGACTAACAAAATCCAGGGGTACTAGGCGGACCATTGATGTAGAATAAACATCGACCAAATTAATTGCTGTAGTGATAAGGTGCTCTGAGTTAATCCGTTTTTGTGTAATATCGAACTGATTTGTTTAAACTGCAATAAGGACGATTGCAAGTAAGTGTGTTTAGATAGTATAAGTGCTCAATTTATCTTTTAAAACAACCGAGTGGACCTATTAAGAAAAAATACACTCGTAAGTGTAACCCAGTATATTTATCTGTAAAAAAACCAACAGAGGGAAAGGACTTGATATATTTTTTTTAAATTTACGTAAAAGAGATAACCCGGCCTGGTTTAGTTTTTACAGGTGATATTCAAGTACTTAAAGAAAAAGGGGGGCCAAAGAACAGGTAGACAAAATAAAAAACCAGGGGGAGACATGCAAATGATTAATGCCCAATCTGACCAGTGTCCAGTCCTCGCATGACCCGATGACCCGTCAACGGATTTCAGTAACGTCCGAGGTGGTGGATTTTCCGAATTAAACCACCGAAAAGAAACTGGTTCCTTTAAACTGCTTCGGTCCCGGATGAGGGGGAGGGTCAAAAGTGGTTAAGGATGGTCAGTTGGACTCGTTACGAAGGGATGGGACCAGTTCTTCAACGGATCTTCTTCCGCACTCCCACCGCGGGGCCCCGTTAAAAAAATACTTTTGCACAAAAAAATCAACCCTTCTACAGAGTCCCTTCCGGGGGATTGTAATCGACAAAAGAGGTGGATCCTAATTAAACACAATCATGTCCGATGTTCTGATCCGTTCTGCCTAATCTATTATTTTGTGCTCAAATTTTGTAAGGAAACAGCGAGGCCAAACATATCGAACTTTATGAATTGAGTCATGCAAGCCTGGCCTTCATACCAATCAAAACTCAGTTAAAAACAAGAAAGTCAAAAGATACCATACGTAATTATTATTTTTTCTTCTTAAAATACAACAACATAGAAGGTGAAAGAATGAGAGAGGAGGGTGAGAGAGAGGAGAGGGAGAGGAGAGAGAGAGAGGAGAAAGAGAAAAAGAGAGAGAGAGAGAGAGGAGAAAGAGAAAGAGAAAAAGAGAGAGAGAGAGAGAGAGAGGAGAAAGAGAAAAAGAGAGAGAGAGAGAGAGAGAGAGAGAGAGAGGAGAAAGAGAAAGAGANGAAAGCAGAGAGAGGAGAGAGAGAGAGGAGAAAGAGAAAGAGAAAAAAAAAGAGAGAGAGAGAGAGAGAGAGAGAGAGAGAGAGAGAGAGAGAACAAAAAAGTCAATGACAATACTTTATGATACTTATGTTAGATCTTTACGAAGTCATGCCTACAGCATTACAAAAACATTAATTGTGAGCTTTGGTCGACCAAAAGACGAAATCTCTCCATTTAATATTAGCTAGCTTTTTTCTTTGCAACTTTTATGTAGTTATTTTATCATGTTGATAATCACGATTCTTCAAGTGTCAAAGTGTCTAGTGGTGGTGATGTATCGTTTCCGAGGTTGATTGGTCAAAAACTAGAATGCTGCTATGTACAAGATTTTATTAAAAGCGATGACATAAAGGGAAATGCTCCAACGGTATTTTTTCCACAGTAGGTCCGGTTAAATGAGAATCAGGAAAAAGGAAAACCGGCTTGGACAGTACTACAAAAAAAAAAGGAACGGCAGAAGATGGGGAAGTGAGAAAGGGCGGCAGCTTCCAAGTAGCAGGGCGCCACTATCTCATAAGGTCATAAGATCAAAATTACAATAGAACGAGAAAAGGGGAGGTCCCATTATTTCAGTATGCGGGCCCTTTTATTTCAGAGAAAAGCCCCGGCCAGAAAGGATTGGAGTGCAAAGGGTTATGGGAACTGGACAGTGTCCACTCGGGCCCAAAGGATGCAGATGACCCGGAGGTCACCGCATCGAGCGACCCCCTTTTTTTCCCCGCTTCCACCCCATTCTCTTTCTCCTAATCGGAATGGATAACGGATATAAAAATAAGGGGATGCTACGGTCATTTTCCGATGGAACCGGTCCGGCCCGTCGATGGTCAAGCCGCTGAAATGTCCAGGTGGAACCTGTTTCTATCTTGCGATGGGCTTTTTTACCAAACGGTTTTTCTCCTTTATTTTCTTTCTTTAGAGAGGTAAAGGACGAGATCGGACAGGAAAAGGAAAATAATTCCAACCGTCAGGTACGTCTGGGCGGGGGTAAAATCCCGATGATATCGGACTTCCTTTCTCTCGAATATCCAACAATCCTTGGCC